TCCTATTTAAGGAGCCACGAATTGAAATAAAGCATTCAGTTTTCCAGCCACGAAAAGAGTGAGGAGAGTTCGGGTGGTCTCTTGGACAAATCACCCATTGGGTTTCCGTAATAGGGTCTGTAAGCAAGGGAAGGCGCAAGGGGAAGCAGGGGGCTTTCGCACCGTGGACCGACCCGTGACGGGATCCTACGTGCGGCACCATAACAAGTAAAACTTTCAAAAGACTTGTCTTGACTTCTGTTCCATAGATTCTTAAGTTGTGCTCTCACCTTAGCAACATAGTTCGAGGTCGAGGTAGGGGGCGAGGAAGGGGTCGGGAGCGTGCCACCAACCCAGAACGTGACACAGTCCCCCCACCAACAAAAGAAAAAGAGGAGTAAAACAGGGAAACTTGATTAAAGAAAGTGAGACAACAAGACGCATTTGTTTGTAGCTAACTGACTAATCACGCGTGTTCGGTCTCATTGTATAGAATACTGGTGTATTTACTCGTATGGAACATGCATAGATTTATTAAATAAGAGGGCTGATAAGTTGATGAAGTTGATAACCCGTAACCTTTGAGGGAGTTGAGATAATCTGCTCTCATCTAATCTAAGGAGATATAGGACAAGTTGAAAATTAGTATTAGCGGGTTTTTTCTATCTATGCCCAGTCGGCAGTCGCGTATTGAAGATCTGTTTGGACTGAGTGTAGCGACCCGACCCGTGTGTCATAACTTGCAAAACACTTCTCTGGGCAGCTGACTTCCTCATAAATGCAGTAATGAATGCCCAAATTAAAACTATTTGCGGGTTGGGCTCTCCTTGGTTGTCACGTGAACGCGACAAGATGAAACTTGAGTACTTGAATGGCGGAATGGTGAAGTGATCGGATTCCCATATAGCAGCTTCTGCTTCTGCTTCTGCTTCAGCTTCGTCCCGCATGTGCAGACCACTACCAGGAAATTAAGAATAGGGATTTATTTTTATATTAGCACACATCTTGTGTTAGTTGGCCTCGTTTGAAAGCTACAAGAACATATATATTGGTATACCACACATCTTGTATTCTTGTGTTGGAGATCATTTTATGGCTGAGAAAGTCGGTCTTCACACGTCTACCACCGCAACCGCAAGTGAGTGGGTGACTGTGTGAGGCCAACCAAACCAATTGGACAGTCAAGTCAATAATAGTGGATGGTTTGATTGGCAAAGCAATGTCTATTATGTCTTCACTGAAAATGGCCGAACAAACAGGGAATATCTCTTTAATTAATGGACGATTGGTTTTTGTGTTGGAGGATAAGTCATGTATTCTCTGTATTTACTGTCAATTGGCAGTGCTACTGTTAATATTGGGTTTTTCAAATAATTGAAACTTGGTGCTTTCAAAACGAGCAATCAACGTTACGTACGCTACGATATAAAAATCGACGGCCGGCTGTAAAACTGCCTTTCACTGTACGCAAAGCTTGGCATCTGACTTCTGCGACTTTATCCTATTACATTACACACATGTGATCTTTCTTTCTCTCTCTTGGCTTTTTGACGACTGACGAGAATGATGGAGCGAGAAGAAGACGAGCCCGTATCACCGGCCGGACGGTTTTTCCTGCGGCCAGAAATGGATCAAGTGATTAACTGCGCACTGGGCTTAAAGAACTCCCTCGATGTTAACTACTTGAAAGAACATGTCAAGAGCTCCATCATGATACAACACCCAAGATTTTGCAGTCTGTTGGTGAGGGACAACCAGGGGAGGGAACACTGGAGAAGAACTGAGGTGGAGATTGACAGGCACGTACTTGTTCCGGAACTCGGTGGTGAATTCGACGCTGAGGGTAGTCCTGAAGACGATGAGGAGATTGTGAACAGGTACTTGGCAGATCTAGCCGTCTCATCGCCACTGGGCACGGATAAGCCGCTCTGGGAGTTTCACTTGCTGCGGGCCCAAAAGTGCTGCGTTCTGAGAATCCATCACGCATTGGGGGATGGGATCTCCTTGATGTCTCTATTCCTCTCTTGCTGCAGGAGGGCGGATCGTCCAGATGAGGTGCCATCCATCTCAATAACAGCATCTTCTTCGAATTCGAATTCCTCAAAAGCTAAAGAAAACAAGCTGAGCAGAAGCAGCAGAGGAGGTTGTGGAAGGTTGTTATGGAAAGGGGTGTTGGTGGTGTGGTTCACGATAGTTTTCGTGGTGAAGTTCATACTTCGGAGCTTGTGGGTGAAAGATGAGAAATCGGCGATAACGGGTGGCGCTGGGGTGGAATTGTGGCCAAGGAAGTTGGCCACGGCCAAGTTCAAGCTTGACGACATGAAGGCCGTCAAGAAGGCCGTCGCTAACGCGGTACGTAACGTTTCGGCCCCCCTTTTTTTTCTTTTACGTTTTCTATGATGATGCCACAAGCCCACAGGACTATCATACCCCGCCATGTATTGGGAACATCTCCCTATGATACTACCACATCCGATCATATCATCATCGGGAGATGTTGTCAATACATGTTTTATATTTCAAAACATGTATTTACACTGTACATATTTATATTTTAATCCTTTTAAACTGAGTGATATGTACAATTACGGTGTAAACGGATCGTATTGGAATTGAATCACTCAAAATTCGAATTCCATTAAAATTTTGATATATGATGGATACTGAAAATTAATATTCGAATTTGATCAATTAATTAATTTAAATAATTAATGTATACGTATATAAAATAAATGTTTTATTTATATAAATAATATAAATAGTTTAATTATTATATATAATATATAAAATAAGAATTAAATAATTGATCTAATTCGGATATTTATCGAATTAAATCAGGTTATATTTGACTTAAATTTAAATTATCTAAATTCAATTTGATTATGATGAATCTTGAATTCTAAATTGAATTTTGGAATTCCATTGACACATTTATGTCCAACTTCTGTGACATCATATTTGCAAAATTTTGGACTTTAACATAAACCTCTCATTGAATTGAAGGCTTGAAGCATAACGTTGAAAGTACATCAGAAAATAAAATATTTTGGTACGAGATATGTTGTTGTACAATGTTTTTATTAAAAGCCGATAGGACAAAATAAAGTGGGAAATACCGAAATAGAAAGCAGGAACGCCTTTCAAATGACGTGTGGGTCAGGTAGGCACAGCACATATTAAATGTTTTTTAATATTTTTCAAGTGTAAGCTGAGGGTATAAACAAAATTTAGCTTACAATGCTGTACCTACTTTCATATGAGCTGTGTAAAAAGCTACATAATAGATGATCTATGATTGGACAAGTCAACATTTAAGTAGGTATTTATTTACACACAGATGCGTGCCCAATCGGAGGTTTTCTTGTTGGGTTAGGATCCGGTACGATTCTTCCATCAAACAAAAATATGGGTGGTGTCATGGTGTGGTTTTTTGTTATCTACAATTAGGATGGAACATGTATGGTGGTGCAAAGATTCAGTTTCAATCCAATCTTTTTTCTATTTAATTGAATCTTTGGGGAACGCTTGTGGTGGGGGGGGGCTGAGAGCCTGAGACCATGGTAGTAAAATTTACCGATTAATTTACATTAAAAAGTTTCCATAATCGGGTTTAATAAGGGACTTTCTCTGCATTAAAAAAAAAAATCATATTTCTGCCGCTTGGCATATTATATAACAAATCTAAGCCATCCATAATTTAGACCAATCCAGATCTGCTGGATTTGGAATATCTTCCCTCCAACATGATTTATGTCATGAACCAACCCACCATAAAATTGGGGAACCATCATGCATGAGATCTGTGGATACGGATCATATTTGAACTGTTGGGACTGTTTTTTGTTTAGAGCAGATCTGCACTTGATTTGCGGCCCGCGAATTGTACATCAGAAGTTATCTTTATCTTTATTATCATAAAAGGGATATTTGTCTTGGTTTTGATAAGTTTAATTGTACAATATCAATTTTATCTTTACTATGCGTGTGCCCTTGACACCTATTAGTAATAAATCCCCATTCAATTCAATTATGATGAATTGTTGATTCCTCATTTCAACCATATATGATATATGGTATTTAGATTTAATTTTTATCACTTGGTATATATATATATATATATATTATTAAAATTTTTTAGAATGAAATGTTTTGACAGTGTATGAAAATGCTTTTTTATAAGTGCTTTGGCAAAAAAAGAAAAAACTGTTTCAAAAGAAACATTTATTGTGTTTCTGGCCCATCTTGGCCTGCCACTTAATTATCAAAATACCCTGTTTGAAAGAAGTGTTTTCTCACCAAACATTTGTAAAATGCTTATTCAATTAGAACTTATTTGAAAATACCCATCAGAACAATAAGTAATCCCCAATATTATTATTATTATTATTATTATTATTATTATTATTATTATTATTATTATTATTATTATTATTATTATTATTATTATTATTATTATTATTATNTTATTATTATTATTATTATTATTATTATTATTATTATTATTATTATTATTATTATTATTATTATTATTATTATTATTATTATTATTATTATTATTTCCTTTCTGGTAATAATATTTCTATATATTTTGTGCAGACAATAAACGATGTTCTCTTTGGAGTGATATCATTCGGGCTGACAAGATACTTGCAAATGCAATCTCCAAAAAGTAATTCTCATTCAAAATTTCTCTTTTAATCTATATTTAGCTATAAGGCACTTAATTGCCACAATTGAGTGGATTTTGCCAGAACAACGAGAAGGGCTTCAACTCACAGGGTTGGCAATGGTCAATTTACGACAGGAAAGTGGGTTGCAGGTATTTGTTTGAAAACCCATTCGGGTCCCTTTGGTAACAACTGAAGTGGTTTAACTGAATGGTTTAATCCATATCTTCAAATATTTTATAGTTTAAATACTTTTTCCATTAAATGAAAAAGTAATAAGTCATTTCAATGCTTACATGGACCTTTTTCTCTCATTTCTCATACATGATCATATTTTTCTAACTAAATTATTAAAAATATAATAAGAAGTTACAAATAAAATCCTCTTATGTCTTAATTTTCTTTAATAAAATCCATCACTAACTTCTACAATAAAATTATTCTTGATATTTTTTCTTTCTTTCTATCCATCATCTCTAAAATATCTGTGAACCCATTTTGACTCTCCCTACTTAAACCTAGGGTTTAAATTAAATGGATTGAGTGTTTAAAGACCAATCCAAAACATGGACCTAGGGATACAAGTTGCATTTAGTTGGGTTGGAAATTTTTTAAATTTTCAATGGGCCTGAACCGAAATCTTAGCCGATTTAGTTTAAATTCTTCCTCTTGGGCAACCCGGCATAGTTGTGGATGCCTAAACCCTAAGTGATGTCAAAACCCTTTGCCAATTCAAGCATAACCAAACTTCTATTCAACCCCAGACATGCATACATTGCATTGGTTACAGTATGTAATATGTTCAAACCGAACAACTCAGAGATTAAAACAAGTCAGAGAAACAAATGCGCTCTGTAACTTACCTTTTCAATGAAACAATGTGGTCGAAGTGAATTAAGAAGGATGTTGAACTTCATTCCCTTTTCTTTATCTTTTGAAATTCATCTAAATTCAACTGAATCACCTTGAAGTTATTCGCAGGATCTGTCGAATATGATGAAAAACAACAATTCGAGATCAAGATGGGGCAACCAATTCGGATTCCTTCTTCTTCCTGTTTATTATCATGAAAATGTGGATGACCCTCTTCAGTATGTAAAACGAGCTAAAGCTATGCTCGATACGAAGAAGCAATCGTTTGAGGCACACTGCTCATATGCGATTGGGAAATTAGCAATGTGGGTTCTGGGTCCAAAGGTGATGACAATTCAAATCATTACACTTTATCCAGAACTTGTCAGCCACAAAAGAAATGGATTTTCTGATATTGCTCCGATCCGGTGGTTTCTTCGCAGGTGGCGACCATGCTTAATTACAGGATACTGTGCAATACGAGCTTCACAATCTCGAACATCGTTGGACCACAGGAAGAGATCATGGTCAGCGGGATCCCTGTAACATACTTTAGGGTAAACTCGACTGGTTTACCCCACGTAAGATTGCCAACACCATTGATCTATTCTTGGGTTTTGTTTTCCAAAATAACAACTCTGTAATTGATTCAGTGGAGAGAAGGGAGCTTAATTATCTACCAATGGAACTTGCAGGCACTTACAATGCACATGGTGAGTTTTGCCGGAAGAGCAGAAATGCAAATCCTTGTGGCGAAAGAAATCATCCCCGACCCCCGAGTCCTCGCCAAGTGTTTTCAAGACGCATTGCTTGAATTGAAGGATGCTGCTGCAACATCCATGAAAGATTGATCCCATTGCTCAATTACTCTGGGTTACAAGCTCAAATACACGGAACCTACTACTACTACTACTACATTTTCAACATTTGTTCAGGAAAAACTGCAAATCGAAATCACTCTCGGGGCCTCGCCTTACAGACCTTTCGAACAAGGTTCAGCCCAAAAGAAAAGATGTGAGTAGCTGTAAGTTTGCTTAGTTCTAAACTGCATCTCGGACTCGGACAGATGTGTCCATGCACTCTCGTAAGAAAAGAGACCCCACTCAAAAGAGAGTTGGCATAAAATCTGGCTGGTTGTACAATTTTAAGACTAGCTTTATGATAGTTTTTCCGTACATTCTTTTTTATGAACTCTGTGGGGGCATTTCCGCATTTGGTTCTATAGATATTAAACTTTTTATTTTTCTATGAATATCAATGGAAAAAGTAAAAAAAAAAAAAAAATGTTTGGTTTCCATCTCCAAAATTGCTTTGAGCTTGCGTAATTTAGGCCAAGGATAAGAATCCCAGTTTATAACTGACAAAAAATAATTCACAACAAAAGAACTGATAATAAGTATAAATGCATTTGGATAAGCTTAAGGATTTGTGCCTTTAAAATTCAAAAGCACAAAGCTCTAATTTTAGGCCTTATGCGTTTGGGGCGTGAAATTGATTTGGCCTTAGATTATTATGTCATAAAAATGAAATTCTTACCAAACGCTCAAGACACTTTCCGGCTCTTTTTTTTTTTATTTCTCACAGCTTATAAAAGCAAAAGATTATCCAATCCAAACAGAGCCTAATTTATAAGCTTATTAGTTACTTTTTGATAAATAACTTCCCATAAACATAGTGGTAAACCAAACGCCGCATAAATGATAGAATGCTGGTAACGGCCCTCGTAGGACTGTCAATAGGTTAGGTATCAATTCCAATCTGTCGTTTAGAGAAAAGAGGGAGCCCAAGACCCAAGAGGCCTCAAATCATCTTTGAAAAAGAAAAAGAAAGGTCCCAACTCTATGCTCACACAGACTTCCCTTACTCACGTGGTTATTTGTGATCATTTATTTTAAAGTTAAATTATTAAGAAAGTAAGAAGTTGAATTGGGATCTGTTCCTCACGAGCCACATCCCACTGTTTAATGGGAACATCTCCCATGAATAATAAATATGAAATTAACGGAGATGTTCCCGATTCACACAGACTTCCCTTACTCACGTGGTTATTTGTGGTCATTTATTTTAAAGTTAAATTATTAAGAAAGTAAGAAGTTGAATTGGGATCTGTTCCTCACGAGACACATCCCACTGTTTAATGGGAACATCTCCCATGAATAATAAATATGAAATTAACGGAGATGTTCCCGATTTGTAGCTGGGACATGCTGTCGGGTCAGTGTGAAGAGCGCAGTGAGGAGCAGATCCGATCTCGTCATCATTCTAAAAACAAATTTTAAATTCTGCAACGTCATCTTCCCCATTAAATCCTTCATTTCCCCTTAAATTTATCTTAACTTCTTTTGACCTTCCCTAATAAAGTTGGGGTATAAATATAAATTAGATAGGGGTGACCATGGACCAGGGCAGAGCTGGATTCCGGGTTTGTGGCTTTTATGTATAAATTATTAAATATATATAGTATTCTATATTATATATATCATACTGTGTATGGAATTTATTTTATGCATTATATAATATAAAATGTAACATAAATATATAAAAAACAAAAAAATTTGTGGGCTGGGCATAAACACAAACCTAAACCCAAGCCCAGAATTTCCAGGCTTGACTTTCCCAGCTGGGCGGCAAAATGATCATTCCTAAATTAGATGGTAGGCCGTAGGCCCAACCAAAATCCTGACCCAAATTGTGAGACAAGTCAAATTTGCCAACCCAAGCAAGCCCAACCAAATTTCAAAGTAATTTTTCAATGATACGTCACCAAATTTCCGTTCAAGTCCTACCATTTTATGGTTCTAATCTAGACAGCAAAATGCATACGCACAGGAGACTCAGACTGTATCCATAATTGTAGATTGATGTCCGTCCCGATTCCTAGGTGACCCTTTTTCTTCCATACCCAAGATAATTGGATCAACAAATCAGTAGCAATGCCTTAAATATCTTGCTAGGTAGTTCTCTAAAATTTCCTGCTTCGACAGAAGACTAATAACAAATTAACAATTGCTTAAAGTTGAAATCAATCACAATCAAAATTCAGGAATTCCTGGATGGAGAAGAATGTCATTCCCACCCAATGGTAAATAGGAAAAACCATGATATTAATGGAGATGATACTTCTTACAAAATGTTAAAAGAATGACGAAAAATGGCATGCCATTCTATTAATAGGTTTGAACTAAGCGAGCTTCTTTGCACGACCACTTGAAGAAACTTCCTCCTTTTTGGACCCTGTAGCTTCAGGCTTTTTGGCCCAAGCAGGAGCTCGGTCTGGCTCGTAGCGATAATCATAAAAGAGTTCCTCCCCAGCATTTATCCGTTCCTTTGCAAATATACCCACCCTGTGATCCCCTGCTACCATGATGACCTACATACAATAGCATTCTTACCAGCATGAGCAACCAATAAATCCAACACATTGACCTTTCTCTTGGAAGGTTTGTTGTACATGCATACATTAGTCACGCGTGTGTGTGTGTGTGTGTGTTTTAGAGAGAGAGAGACCTTGGCATAGCAATTTGGATCAGGAGAATGATTAGCAAATTTCAATTTATCACCCTTCCGATAAGCATCAAGAACAAACTGAAAGAAGAAATAACTTTATCAGTAAAAAATCAACTAAAAGGAATAAAAAGACAAAGAAAACTATCATATATAGAATGGATGATGCCTGATCATTCAGATTGAAAAGAAATGATGAATTTTCACGATCATATATCTTTCCACGCTTATCAGCTTCTCGGTGTGAGATAAGTTCTCCGGTGTACTCTCCCAGGTATTCATGTTTGCCAACACTATTCTGAAGAATTTGAAGACCCTTAGTATTTATAGAAGCAGCCATGATACAGCACTATGTGTTTAAAATGAAAAGAAAAGAAAAGGTTACCTTAAGAAACGCTCCCCAGCCAGATACATCAGACCTTCCAAGTAAGACCTGATCATGTACATAAATCAAGCTTGAATCCTAATAAAATTATGGCCAAAGAGAAATAGCCTCATCTCCAATTTATGCAGTTGGCATATTTTTACTTCTGCTCAATATTATATTGATAAAACCAGCAACGCCATATGCACTTTATGATCATCTATACCATACTGTAATTCAGCTAGGAATAGGTAATATTCATGAAATGATAAAATTTGGTAGCCTATGTGAATAAAAATCATGAACAGTGTCATCAAGATTACTGAAAAATAGCCAAAATTGGATATGGAACAGGCAGAGTAGCAAGTCAGGCTCCTGGAAGAACAGGGACATAAGGGTAAGCCAATATAGCAAGGCAAAACAGGAAGGGAATCAAAGGAGAAAAGGTGAAAATAATTTATCATAAACATCATGATCAGGATATCTGAATTATCTCAAAGGATGCCATTATAAAAAATGTGCAACTATGTAACTAAGATTTCTTGAACTAAAAATTTTCCAGCAGGGTTGTATCTGAAATTGGAGGGAAAAAACACAAGACGAGTAGAGTGGACTCCACAGAAAGAATTAATGTACCCAGAGAAAACTGACCAAATTTCTACATAGTGCATTTGTATGTGTATCTCTATATGTGTTTTCTGCAAAACAATTAAGAAAACTTTGGGTTCCACCAAAAAAAGATGAAAAAAAAAACAATAGCCGAGTTTAGTTGCATGGCTTCTGGATGCCAACTTTTGGCAAAATCAGCCAAACCGGTCATAGATCACAGCTCATGGTGACATTTGGGAAAGGGAAAAAGTCTTCTTTCAAAATTAAAAATAGATTATAAGATGAAATTTAATTTTTGGAGGTAGTATGTCACTGCCTTCTGGCACTCAGAAAAAACTTTGCCCTAGGGATGTGTTCTATTTTTCAAATGCTTATTCCAGATTTAGTAAATGCAATCTACTGGTATATCCTTCTCCATATGATATATGCATCAAATAATATTCAGCAGAGTATGATGAGAATTTGTAAGTTAAAGGTCATCCCATAAATAACTAAACAAGAAATGCTTAAGCATTATTACCCTTTGTTGTTGCTTGAGAAGAAGCTTCATATTCCTACATTCATAATTATCACCTCTCTGGGAAGGGACTCCAAGAGTACCATCACCGCAACTGTGAGGAAATGTCAGAACACAAGTGAAAGAAACCTTAGATAAAACACTAAAGGGAAATAAGAAAAAGAAGTGAGGAAAGCAGAGCAAGATCAATAAATAAAGTCAATTATGTTGCAAGCAAATATGCATAAATTACTCAAAAGTTTGTTATTCAAATAAAAGTGATTGTTGATCTAATCACCCAAAATGGCCCTTTTAGGACTTCAAGAGGATCTGAAGTTTTTCAATCATCCAATGCAATCATGCATTAGAACATCCTCACTAAAGCATAACAGCCATGCTTGGAAATATATCCTCGTATGATGGGTACAAAGACACAAGTCACACAACAGAGTCACATTTCATGTTTATAAGACAAATTATCTACTGTTCCAATTAATTTATTTATTTATTGAGAAAAGGTGAGTTTTCTATTAAAAGAAGCAAAGATAAAGGCTGCTGAGGGAGGCGTTTCCTCAACAGCCAAGTACATCAAAGCAGTAGTAAAACATTGGCAGGAAAGCCTTATAGAACCAAATCATTATCCCACCAAATACTACTCCAATGACTAAAGAACAGACTAAAGTTGACGCCCTTAAATAAATTGTTGACTGAAGCCACTTGACTAACATCCTTTCCGCCTTGCCCTGCACCTGCTCAATTGGGAATGCCTTGTCTTTGAAAGTGTGGCTGTTCCTTTCTTTCCAGATGCACCAACAAATAATGAAAGGAGCTAAGCGCCACAAAATCTTCCCCCTTCTACTAAAGGGTTTCAATTCCCAGGAAGCCATTAATGACTCTAAGGTAGGGAGAAGGACCCAATTTACAGCAAAGAGCTTTAAGACGTGAGAACACAGACTGTAAGAAAAGCCACATATTATGAAGAGATGATGTATGTTTTCCTCCACCATACCACATAAGCAAAACCCATTAACCAGGTACATTCCTTTCTTTAGAATATTAATAGTCTGGATTTTACCTTTTAGTGCAACCCACATGAAAAACAAGACCATACAAGGGATCCTAGTATTCCAAATCTAAACACAAGGAGGGGGCTGACACAGTACGGAAATGAAACACGTGAAAAAAGCTTCAAAGAAAAGAGCAGAAGTCGAAGTTTAGGAAGAAGAATTCTTCACTAAATAATTAAGAGAAAATTGATAACAAGGGAACTGCCTTAACTTTCCCCTAGATACTCTTTGTATAGGCATACACCCTTATGGCTCCTATTCCTAATCTGAAAACACTCCTTAATAGAATCCTACTAAAACTCTTTAAAAAAGAAAATCCTAGTCTAAGAAAACACTACATAATAGAATCCTACTAAAACTCTTTAAAAAAAGAAAATCTTAATCTAAGAAAACACTCCAAAATAGAACCCTACTGAAATCCTTCAAAAGGAAAGTCCTAATTGAATATAAATTCGAAATAATGCTAACATGGTAAAAACGAACTAAGATAGAAATCCTATGATGATGCTATCTTGGTAAATATTTACTAAGCTGGCCCGGTGGCATCATCTCTGCTTCTTATGTGTCTTGAAATGGTCCCAACTTGCATAGAACTTATCGGCCTTCTCCTGTACTGCATCAGGGGCCCAGAATTCGAAGGGTTCAAGAGAGTCAACATTGACTTGGTGATGAAAATTCCAGACTTCTCCAAGGGCCATCAGATTCTATCTTCAGCTTGCGATTGGTGTTTAATCTGTTCTAGCTGTTGTAACAGAGTTATTAAAGCCTCCAAAATCCAATCATCTACATTTCTTCTTAGCCTCAATATTCAGGTAACCTGAGAAGTGCTAACTTCAAGGCAATTACAGACTCTAGCATCCCCGTCTTGTACTAAAGCAAAGGACTCTCTCACCTGAGCCTCGTTTCAAAGAGACAAGGTTGAAATTTGAAAAAGAGGTTCCTGTTTTGCATTATTACCTTCCAAAGACCAATGCCATAAGACACACTGACCGGGCCTGATTCCCACCCCAAGCTAGCTTCCCCATACTTGTTTTTTATGAGATTTCTCCACTGGGCATCATGTTCTGTGCCAAACCTCCACAGCCATTTGGACAAAAGGAACAAGTTTACTTGCTTCAGAGGCTTAACACCCAAACCACCTAACATTTTTGGTTTACAAATCTTTGACCATGCAACTAAGTGAAATTTCCTTTCATCATCCTTTCCCTTCCACAAGAAATCTTTTCTTAGTTTCTCAAGGGAGTTTAAGACAGATATTGATGCTTGGAAGAGTGTAGTAAGTGGATAAACTTTAAAGGACACTCTAAACAAGAGTTAACTTACCACCCCTTGACAGATAGTGTGTCTTCCACCCTGCTAGCTTAGACTTTACTCTTTCAATCACTGGGCCCCAAATTTCTCTAGATAGCCTAATAAGGTCAATTAGGTTACCAGTCTGCACAACCTCTCTAATTTCTTTCACGTGGAGAAGTTCCATTGCTAATCCAGAACATCTCATTATGGGATGGCTCTTAGCTGGCCATGCGTTGGCAACTTGGCATCCACTTGTATTATTTGCCCAATGGGCATTAGATTGTCCAAAATTACCAAAAAAGTCATTTTTTATAAATAATTACCAAAAAAGTCATTCTACACAAAGATAGTATTATTTGCATTTATAAAACTTTTATCTAAAGGATGCAAGATGCATTTACCCTGGATAAAGTGGATTCCCTATATGAATGAAAAATACATTATCAGATGAACTTGCTAGAAAAGAAACAAATAAGGTGGAGATTTAGTGCACCCCTACTAATATAAGGTAGGAAAAGTGATGTAGGCCACCTAACTTCAATTTTTTTACAAGATAAAACGCATGATCCATGAAGAAAATTTAAAGCAGAACAGAGGAAATATACTCTGATGATATAAGAATAACTCATCATTTTTTAGGCTGCAGAACATTCTAGGTTTCATCTTATGAAATGCAAATAAGCCGGCAATATAGGCAGGAATCAGATATGCACTTTGATGATTATGGATTCTTTTGCATTTCAATCACATGTGCAACAATTAGTTAAAACTTCCACAAAAAAGAATCCCCCAATGAAAGTAATCCTGAGAATATGATATGATTTTCTACAATAAATGATGAAAATGGCTGTAGAACCCAATGCTAGAACAATTTTGAAATTGTCAATCCTGGTAAGAAAAAAAGGATAAGCAAATGCACATACCCAACCCAGCAATTTCTACAAACATCTGGATCACATTCTCTATCTGCAGCAAAGCATGGGCATTGTCGACTTCGGCATTGGCTTTTGGCACAATGGCAGCCTCTAAACCGATTCTTGCAACTCTTAGGACACCTAGATTCGAAATTCGAGGAAAAAAAAAGCATTAGTAAGAACAATCTCTGCAACAACATTAACATACTTGAGAATACAATATTTAAGCCTATGTAGAAATAATTACTGAAAGTAGTGAAAACTTAGGGGCATACCAGCAAACTATTCCTGTACAAAAGATATTAGCACATCGAAAAACAAAGAAAAATCACAAACGAAAATCTTATATTGAAAAAATAAGGTATAGAATGACTAGAAACATCTCAGATAAAATGTCCAAATACATATATTCTTCAGTCAGAGGGTGGGTCATGGCCCTTGGCGCAACAGTTGGGTTGCTCCATTGTGACCTGGGTGACCAGGATTCAAATCTTGGAAACAGCCTCTCTGTATGTACAGGGGTAAGGCCGGGTACATCTGGCCCTCCCCAGACCCCACATTGGCAGGAGCCTCGTGCACTGGGCTGCCCTTTTTTATATATTCTTCAGTCAAATTTAAAATGAGCTGAGAAACACTGGGACTGAGTGAAACAAACAAACAAGGAATAACTGATTTTTTTATGAATACAAGAAAAAACCGCTATTTAAAATTCTATTTTAAGTGCATGATTCAGAACGAAAATAATAGGGCTTACCCACAGTATTTCTCACAACAGGTTCCATTTAAAAGGCAAGCACACTGCTTCCCACATGCTGATTGGCAACCACAAGGGTTATATTGTCGGCATGGCTGGTCCTTCCTCTCAGTAATCCGTTTCCTAATTGAATGGTAACCAGCAGACTTCCAAGTATACTTCAACCGGCGAACTCTACCCCTCCTGCGCACAAACCTTGACCTTGTTCTCAGTTCACTACCCTGAAATATTTACCAGGAAAGGAGTGGGAGAGGGAAGATATTCACTCATTGTCAGAGAAAGAAGGGTCCAATGTTGACATATTGAGGCATAAAAACATACTAACCATAGTATCATTATAATCAACTTTGGAATGGCCTTCAACCAGAGAATTTGCACCATCACCTACCCTGTATGATAGCTTGTTTTCTGTGCAATTCATGTACTGGAAGACCTCTGCACATGTCCTCATTCCATTCAAAAGATTCCTTGAAATTAGACAGCTGTTCAGATAAACCAAAGAACCCTTGTAAAATGCATAACATAATCAGTGCATGTATTGTTAAATCTCTTTTTTAGAAAAATAGAGTACCACAGTGCTGTAGAATATGTCTCCAATAGGCCAATGTATTCCATCCCCCCCCCCACCCGAAAACAAAAAAGTGATTCACCTTTACTGTCATGGAGGAAGAAACAAAAACAAGCTAAAAGAAAAGAGAAAAAAACTGAAGCAGAATATCTAACCCCTGGTTTTTATTGTTTTCTTGATTTTCTTTTTTATATTTATTTTAAATCATAATCAATTCAGTATCCCTAGTATAAGCTCTTAATCTTCAACCCTATCCGTTCTTTAATCTCATTGATTCACTCTCTTATATTATTGTTCTCTTGAACCACTTAAATCTCATTGATTCATTCTCTTATATTATTGTTCTCTTGAACCACTTCTTCAAATCCCTTAGTCCCATTATTATCACCATCCTCAGAACCCTAACCAAATAGGATTTTGAAAATCTAAGTACATAGATGATGGTCATTTTTATATCCATAAAAAATGATTATCACTTTTATTTGCGATTCCTATTTATATTATGGTTGAAAGGCTAACAAGAAAGTTATAGGTGATTATTTACTACAGTAGGAATCCAATGAAAATTTTGGATTAAGATAGAATGATTGCAAGAATTTATCATTTTCCTTTTTATTTACTTATATGAACATAAAATACTTTTGCAAACTTCAACTCAAAGCCAGATATGGATGTAAAGATCCATAAGAAATAAAACAAAGTTGCAAACATATCCCAATTTCAGAAGAAAATTAATAAATAAAATATGTACAAAAGGAGTGCATCATAAGAAAATCAACAGAAATACTTTTGCAAACTTCAACTCAAAGCCAGATATGGATGTAAAGATCCATAAGAAATAAAACAAACTTGCAAACATATCCCAATTTCAGAAGAAAATTAATAAATAAAATATGTATAAAAGGAGTGCATCATAAGAAAATCAACAGAAATAGAACAATATCAATTCTCTAAGAATTCTTAAAAGAAATATCTGAAATAGAAATAGCAGACAAGACAGTTTTACTATTATGAAAAAGGCAGATCTACATACAAAACAATTAAGCAATTTGCATAATTGTCAAGGTGATGCCTAGGTGCCACCTAGGTGATATGGCATCATTCAGGGATCACCACATGCCTCATTTTGGTGTTTCCATATGGTAAGTGTAAAGACCAGCTAAGCTGCATCATGTTGTGACAAATAATGGAAAAGAATGTAAAAGGGCATCATAAAAGACCAACTTTAAACTTAAAATCCATAAAATTGGCTTTGGTCTTTTATCTTTCTATTTTAAGCTTTTGTAATCATTCCTCTCTATCTTTGTAACTGTGACCAGAATAAGGACTCTAGGCTTTCATTTTTTCCTTTTCTCTGCAATTAACACAAGCGCATATTCTCTCCTTTATATCTTTATTGTATTTAATTCAAAATAACAAAGGCTTCATGCCTTGTTTTCTTCTATCCTTCTGCTTAGCACACATGCACACACAGACACATTCTCTTTGTATCTCCCTCCTGCATTAACAGAGTAGAGATTCATTCCCTAGTTTTTCTTAGGCTATATAACATTGTCTTAATTCTACCTAGAGTGTTTGACTATTTTATGCTAAGACACTTTCAATGTTTCCTAGTTGTTATGCCAACTAAGGAAACAAGTTAATCATAAGAGAATGGGGAAATAAACTAAAATTACCCAAAATTTTAATTAAAAAAAAAAAACATCGTGCACCAGGGCAACAAGGTGATCTGCTGTTGCCCAGCCTTGAGTTATCCCTTGGAGGCTCGCCTCGCCCAGTCGCCAAACAGTTTTGCATACTGTGTAATAAAATACTTTTATATTGATATTTTTTTTAGATTATAATTATAAAAAGACATTATTAAAGAAAACTATTCATTTTTTGCATTTATAAACTAATTTCTTTTTATTATTTTCTTATTTGTTAGGGTTTAATCAACACAAACATTGCTAACTGCTGCATTGAACCCTCAATGACTTCAAAATCTGAACCAATAAGGGAAGAACTTAAAATTGTGTCCAATCAACACATTTCTTGTTGCACATCTCCTTTTCTTTTCTTCTTTTCTTCTTTTTTCTTTTCCTATAAATAACAAAAATACGGGTTCAGCCCCTATATTTTTTGAATTTTCTTTCCTTTTTTCTTTTTCTTCTCATAAATATGTTGATTTTCTAGACTTAAACATTAAGTTTATAATTTTCTTATGAAAATTATGGATAGTTATTAAAGAAAGTCGGTTATGGAACCTAGGGAAATACCCTAGGATATGTGATTTTTACTTAAAAAAAAATCCATCACCTAGGCGATGCCTAGGCGACTAGGCGCCCCCTTGTCACCTAGCCTCACCTTGGCACCTTGAAAACTATGCTTGACAATGTGTTGCTATAAACTTCTGCAGTGTCAGTATGTCAAACTTGTTGACAGTTAACACCACCCATGTCTTAAGAGTCTCATACACCTGACTGGACACATCTAGAGTGCTCATTGAAATGAGAGACAGTTGGCATCTCCCGTGACAGGGACAGGAACAGCTGACAAGCTTACCTGTTAGCACATATCTAGAGATTCTAGACTTGTATAGCTCCATTTACTTCTAAAGAATATAGATAAACACTTGCCATTTGCAGTTTGATTGCAAACAATTACATCTATTCTTTCTTAAATTTGGTGGCATATTAAGTGTACAAGCACATATATACACAGAGGCCAACTTTCATATGTTGATATATGTAGATTTGGGGGAATTGCCATGTCTGGTATGCCATCTCTATGTTGAAACACGACACTCATGCCTGTGTTCACAGATCATAGAAAAAAACTTGCTTTACAAATCTATTTATCCATTGAAAATTTTCAGCAGCCTTCAAGTTAATGAGATTAGTAAGTTCAGATTTTCAACCAGTCATATGCCTTGGGAATATTCAAAATCTGTCATACCAAAACACAAGCCTACATGCAATTTAGATGGATTCCAACACAGATGGAATGCTTATGCACTAACCTATTCCTTCCAAAAATCTCTAAGCCTTTCGCAAAAAGGCCCTTCTCGATAGCTTTCCAAGATTTATCACCAGTTGCTTCATGTTTGCAGACATTGTCATCAACAAACTCTTCTTTTCTTGAGGTTTCATCACTAGTAGCCACCAGTGGGCCTTTTGCCATCTCATCAGATGGTTCATCATGAACTTCAGCCAATGCAGATTTCTTACTTTCCTGAATTGGTGATTCCTTCCTCCTAGACTTTCTAATGGGTGGAGTTTTTACTTTCCGTTGTGAAGAAATAGCCTCCTCATTTTCCTTGCGTGAATTAGATCTAAGCTTCATATCTCTGGGCCAAATGCATCCACTCACAACAGAATCAGAATCAGAAGTGACCATTTTCTTCTGTCTCTTCCGCATGCAAACAACAACACGCTCAGCAACTCGTTTACTGTTTCTCTTACGAACTCCACATTTTCCAACAAGCTTAGCCTTTGGAGGTGATGAAGAATGGTGGATGGAAGCAGAATCCTGCCTAGGTCTTATCTCTGATTCACTGCTCTCTGATGCATTTCTTGCATTAGATGAAGCACTTTCACTCTGATTAGATTTTGTTTTTCTGCCAGCTGATGGATTAGCACCTTTCTTTCTAGGAGATATCTGATTCCCAGCACTACAAGATGAAGGAACTGGTTTTTCTTCAAGACCATCATGCACCGGAGAGCTCATCGTAGCAATACTTTCAGATTTTTGTGCCTGAAAAATCATTCAATTCACAAGCACATGAAGAAAACTTGACAAGCCAGGGATTATAAATGCCAGTTTGATCTTCACATAAAAATTTCAGGAAGCAGTACAGGCAAGGAAACAACAGCAACCATTTTCATCATATTGAATTACATACCAGCCGATAGCAATGCATGCCACATGGTACTTTTTCCTCATCTGGATGGTTCCATGGGAGTTGCTTATCAGCCTGATAAGATGGGAATAAACAAAAAAGAACATCAATCCAACAAGCATCTAGACAGCATGAATCTCAGTGCACAACTTACAGGAAAGACAAGATCCTGTGAACATCCATGTAATCTACAATCAAATACCTGCCGGAATAAAAAGAAATTGCATCAGAAATAACCATTGGGATAAATTATCAGAGATTATGGCAAAACATAGAAAATGGTACGGATGGTTCTTACTAGACATCGCCGACAAAATAGATTATCAAAAGAATCCAGAGCTGCATCCAGATCTTTATCGAAAAAAGAATCATCCATTTGTGTATTATCTTCAATATTACCCTTCTTAATGAACAGTGCATCTTTCTCTTCCTTCGTTAGAAGTTCGTATCTTGCCTGTATAGAATGTTTGACGTTGTTTCATACCTCTGTAAAGCCAGCACAAATTGATTGGGAAACAGCTGGACCAAAGTTTCACACTATGACCAGTTTTTCAAACAAACTGCAGGGAAAAGTAAAGTGGGGCAGAGAACAAAGACAAATGCTTCCTTTAACTACAGAACTAGGGCACAAAATTTTTCCAACCAGTATCATGTTTATTATTGTAAGAAGCATACCTTAACCTCACAAGGTCTTCTTGAAAAACATTGTGCTAGTAGATCGAGCACATCATCAGATGAACCGACCTCTTGGATAGCCTTTCTGGTAGAAAACACAAGGACACAATGAGTTTCCCTTGAAGCTGACCTAGAATGTAAAAGCTATGGGGAAAACCAAAATAGCTTTAGTACATTTTGTACCCAAATTAGTAAAGACTGTTTCAGTTGTTTGTGTGCTGGCTTAATGAATCTTTTCTTTACTCCCAGAGAAAGATAAAGTCCACACAAGAAGGAATAAACCAAGTGAACAAGGAAGTGCATGAATCCAATATAGATCCATAAATAAAAATAGAATCTTCACATATCAATTACATACATCAAACTGTCCATAGCCAAGTATGGATAAATAAAGGTGGACCAGAAGCATTTGCAACAGACCATGGAAACAAGAAAGAAAGTTTTTTTTTTGGAGCAAAGGTAAATTATAATTATATTAATCAACAGGTCCTTTGTACATAAAACAGAGCAAGGAAATAAACAAAACCCTGCATAGGGAAATAATCTAATGGCAAGCATGAATTTAAAAAAAAAAACGTAAATCTTGTGCAGCCACCAAAAGGGATAAGATATAAGATAAATCAAATATAGGTGAGAAAGTATCAATACATTCTGATGAAACATATAAGGTAAATCCTAAACCATAGAACCCCCTGTTTTCACATCCTTAAGAAATGCAAAATATTGAAGCAGCAAGAAATCAATAACTAAAGTTCATTATGTCAAAGAAAAATATCCATTGCATTTTAGAACAGGAAAAGGGAAAATCCTCTTTTCTAAGGTTAATATAAAAATTGATTACAGTATCATGTTATTAGCATGATATTAGCATGAACATTGTAACATTGTACATCTGAATCCTACATTCAACTCTAAACACCATAGATACACCTTACAATATAGTAAACCATGTATTCAATGATAAAAGCTTGGCTGTTTGTAAGAAAACATCTTGGGCTGTTTCAAAGCTTCATGTGCATACACGTTAGCATGGGTGTGGGCTAGAAGAGTAATTGCAATCAATATCCTCTAATTAAAAAGACAAACAAGGAACTGATTGGGAATTGGGGTAACATGTCATGTATAGGAAGCCCACAAACAGCCAACCCTTTCCCGTATTCAACAACAAATTCAAGGTTACTTCATAACATAGCAAGTTAGCAACAAGCCAAGTATCAGGGAATACTCATCCTAGAAAATGAGCCTCGCCTGTGAGCCCAAGGCCCTAGATGCACCTGAGGTGCACCATTTGAAACACTGTCCAATCCTATGCTTGTATGGACTTCTTGAATTTTTTTTTTTTTTTTGAAAAAAGGTTAACTTTATTCGATAAAAAGAAGAGGTACATGAGGAGATGTACACAACAATTAAGCACTCAGAAAGTTACATAGGCAGAAAACTATCACTAAATAGGTAATCCCTGTGAGCGCCAGATTTAGCTAGACTGTCAGCTTCAGAGTTTAGCTCCCTCGGAATCCAGACCACATGAGCATAGGAAGAGAGGATGTCTCTCACTTCAGCCAGGTAGTGAGCTAAGGACCAAGGCCCACTGTCAGGATTAGAAAGCCAATTAATGGTGTTGGCTGAATCTCCTTTAATGGTAAGATTTAATAAGCCCGTGTCTTTTGCAATCCTGATGCCGGTTAGAGCTGCTTTATTTTAATTTGATCAACAACAATCATACAATGGATACAGCTCCTGTATCACTAGGTGGATGGCAGCCTGGCAGTAGTGCATAATGTTTTCTTAGAACAATTTGATTCATTACACCTATGAACATTTTGCACTGTACATACTCAAAACTATTACAAGAACAAATTTAGGGAATGAACACATGAATGAAACGAACTGTCTAAGCCTGAGGATTTCCTTCCATGAAACAAATATTTTTTTATAGCAAAATAAAAGAAAGAAATTACAAGAAAGGTGACAAGAAGTCACCCAAGATAAGGAAAATAAACAAGAAAAAGATGGAAAACATCCAGTCAAACCCATACAAAAATCTAAACAACCAAAACAAAATTAAACTTCTACCCTCCAAACACAAAAACAAAGACAACCTCCCCAGCCAGGCCTCAAACAAACTCAAACCCCCAACAAAAAAAAAACACTAGGTTCCAAACAAATAATTGAAGGAAAACAAAAGGAAAGAAAATCATAACAAATAACAGTCTACGAAATGATAGAACATGAGAGGACAAATCATGGATTTCTATCAGGAATTTTAAGAGCAGAAAAAGTAAAGTAGAAAGCACATCCACAGATGTATATATAAACTTCATTTGGCTTTATGGTTATACCAACCGAAGGATATAATCTTCACAATTCCCAAATTCTCTCTTGTCTTCTTCCTCCTCAACTATTTCCTCCTCGCTGTCACTGCAAATTAGAGCTTCTCCACCATTCTGGTCATAATAAATTCTTCTTCGCCCAACCACTGATTGATCCTCAGTCATTCGCTGGTTTCTGCATAGATTTGATTATGAAACCATTCAATAACTAGCATAATCTTCAAAAATGGAATAAAAAAAAGTGCCCAGCATGAGCTCAAACTTTAATCAAAATTAATCTAAAAAACTTTGAAACTTGAAGACGCTAATGTGTTTTTATTTTTTTGATCAATATTGAATACACTAATGTATTTCCAAACAGACAACAACTCAGAAACGGTCAAGCCTTGAAAAGAAATCATGCAGCCAAACAAAAACAGTAATCACAAAGAAAGCACCACCACAATGAATTGGCTAATACTGGAAAATGGATAAAGAATACCCCATCTGGATGGATAAAGCTTAGTTGACTTCTGATCAGGTGCATGATAATGAAAGATACAAGCTACCATGTATTTTTTATGAGAAAACAAAGATAAATTGTATAATAAGCAAACAAAGAAGTATAAAAAAGGCAGAGAGAAAATCTTTCTCCACAGCTTGCTCTACAATATAATGTAAAATCTAGCCTGCTGTGTTCATTGTTGTCAAGGCATTCAGATGACTCTGGGCAACAGTTGGGTGCCCATTCACCTAGGCTACAAGGATTTTATAAAATAAATTAAAAAACTATGCTCTGGTTAATTCCCTATAGTTTTATATACCAATCAACATGCATATTATTTGAAAATTAGTGATTCTCTTTATCAATAACATTAAATTTTCTCTCAAAATATGGCAAGTCATCATATCTAAAAGACATAGTATTTTAAATATATTAATTCAAATATTTTCAAAAATAATAAGAAGCTAGCCCACTAGAAAATAAGTAATTACTGCACAAAACTTTAACAAAGGAAGCTAGATGCCCTTAAAAGTTCTCCTAATTCTTTCTTTCCAATATATGCTGATGTCAAGAATGGAGGGCTTTTTCTTTCTTTTCTTTGTTCAGGTCAAACATTGGAACTAGGTATGACCAAAATTCATGTTCAACCTTGACAACAAGAGAGAGTGTTGTGTTTGTTTAAATTAGATGACAAATTTTGTTAAAGTAGTAAGTTGTAACTACATTAGACCATAAAGGAATTCTTACAGGCAAAAACAACAAATATCAAATTCACATATATATAGCAGATAATTAATTAATCAATAATAGGATAAATTACAGACCGCCATCCTATACTTTGGGGATAGTGACACTTAGCCCATCAAACTTTCATTTGTGACAAAGACCAACCCTGAACTTTCAGAATCAAGCACTCTGCCCCCATCATTAGCAATGGGGTATCTATCCAAAAATATCCATGTAGTACAGGATGGCAATCTGTAATTTACCCTAAATAATAATTACCTCATAAAATTCATATTAATGAGATTTCTAAGGACAAATAAATAAGAAGCCTAAGATCATACACCCTATGCAAATAAACAAGCACAAATGTATAAAACTAGTGAAATATTTGTCAATTTGCATACTGAAAAAAATCAAGCATTTACTTATAAATAAGCTATATGTGACAAATGTAAACAAAATAAGAAAATCTACCATCACATAAGTCATAGAATAAACACGACAAATGGCTGTGCAAAAAATGGTTGTTTAACATACCTATCCAAAAATATCCATGTAGTATAGGGAGGCAATTTCTTCACCTCTGGGAGCTTGATAGGGCGAACTATGTTATTCTTCACTCCAAAACTAGTTCCTATAAGAACTGCTGATGAGGCATGGTTATCTTCCTGAGCGCCATTTGTATCCTTTTCACCATTATTTAGATCAAGACCATTCAGCATACCAAGTGTATCTCCTTGTCTCTTCACCAGTAGGCCTAGATTTTTGTTGGTACCATTTATCCCATTGCATCTTCTTTCTTTTGACAATGCATAAACATGATTGGTAATACCCATCAGCTTTTCCTTGTTTTCTTCCATTCTTTTCTGAACAAATTAAAATCAGTTTAATAAATATTTTTAAGGGCCAAATCCATAAGAATACTAGCTCAAAGTTTGAAAATAGCTATCATAAGAATTCACCTTTATAAAAACGCATCTCTCAGCAGCAACTTGTTTCTTCAAAGAATCAATAATTGATACGATATCCTTTCGACTTTGACTTGCTTCCACTATCTGTCAATTAATGTACAGTACTATAGTTATAAATAACAGAAAAATAAGGGATGATGAAATAAAAACAAATCTGTGACAAACGGCCCGTTTGGTTTGTGGGAATAGGGGTCTGGAATCAGAATCAGAAGGGCCATTCTGATTCCAACTGTTTGGTTGGGAGGAACCGGAACCCCATTCCCGTTCCTGGTGGAATGGCATTCCCCCATTTGAGGGAATGGTCATTCCCTCCCCCTGGCCCCTCCCTTGTGAATGAAATCCCATTCCATCTGATTCTAATTCCCATTCCGATTCTTGACTGAATCAAACAGACTATGGGAATAGACCACTCCGATTCCGATTCCAACTGTGAACCAAACGGACCCTAAAATGTAATTAAAAAAGAAAGCCTACTGCAATCATTTTGTTATGGTTAACAAAGACAAATAACAACGTTAGTTAGAAGTAGAGCTTTGGTGCAAATTGATGACTCTAAGAAGGGCAACAGGAAGGCAAAAAGATTGAGGCAGCAAAAAACATATTTGAAGACATATTCCCTGAAGGGATAATTGGTTCTAAATAGGAGGGGGAAAAAAAGAATAGGTCAGGTACTGTACCAGTAGTCAATCAGAAACCCCAAAATAGGTTGCTAATTATTTAAAAAAAAAAGTCTTAAAATCTAAGGTAAAACAAAAGGTGTGATAACCCAAGGTCAAAAGTCAAAATTAATAACCAAATCAGTCCTACGATTTGAATTTCAACTTTCAAGTTTTGACTGGTTACAGTCAAGCATATGTGAACCTAGAACAACAATGCACTTAAGTACAAACAATAGGAAACAATATAACAAACAAAAAGTAAAGCTGCTAATAGACAGAATATGTACACAATTTCCATTTGTTATCTGGCAAACTGAGTACACTTAAAGCCTTTTTGCCTTTAGTTACATAGGTCAAAATTTGGGCTCAAACTTGCAGACTTCTAGCAAGGCTTAGATTCAGTTCATGAAAATTGGCAAGTCAATTCTGAAAGCCCACAAGTTTATCTGGCACTACCCATGATACAAGATTGGGCCCCTATTCCAAATGTCAAAAATCTGCTCAATATGATAGTGGTGTGCTTTGATATACCTCACTGCTCCATATAAATTCCTTTGCTGGATTATCTTCTAGTGGCAACTTGGCATGTCTAGGAACCAACGGAACAAGTGTGTCACTTTGAAAGCCAAAGATCCTACATCTCTAACCCAGTAAGATAGTATACCAAGGCCATTAGCAAAGCCTTGGCAAGATGAATTTCTTCTTAGAGGTATGGAGTTAAGAGGTTGCTTAACTCAAACAAGTGAAAGTCCAATTTGAAAGTGACAATTTCTCCTTTAATTTTCACTATTTTTTATCTATTTGTTGAGTCATCCATTTCATAAATTAGAAATATCACAGTTAGCTGCTTCAAGACCTTGTTGGTATTGTCATTGCTGATAAGAAAAAAGGGCAACCCAGTGCATGAGGCTCCCGCCAATGCAGGGTCTGGGGGAGGGACAGATGTACACAGCCTTACCCCTGCAGATTATATACAGATAGGCAGTTTCCAAGATTTGAACCCTGGTCATCCAGGTCCCAATGGAGCAACCCAACTGTTTCATCAATGCCCATGCTCTGTCGTTGTTAATAAGAGTGTATTATTTTCAGGAACAAGAAAAAATGCACTTAGAGACCTTTTTTATGGGCATCTCAAAAGCAAATAAAGCCTACCTATCACAAAAGGCTATAAATGGTGCACCCTAGTTTATAATTTGGGTTCTGACTAAAACCAGATTCAAACAGGAACTAGAGATCCTTAGTTCAGATTCTATTCCTCGATCATCTTATTTCCAACCATGGGTCTCTCTCCATGATCTTCTTCTTAATAATCAAACTATAATCATCACATTGGCATTCCATGTAAATAAGTCACTATAAATGAACAAGCAAAAAAAAAGAACGGGGAAAAATGAATAAAGTGGAGTTGCAAGCAAGAACTATAGTCAATAATGTGACTTTTTCGATAAATTAGTCGATGATGTGATTTGCAAACAACAATACTGTATTATTTATTCATAACCACGGAAAATTTCAACCTTCAATGAGCTTAACGTGAAGGAGTATGGGGGCTTGACGACTACCTAAGCATTCTTTTAATCAAATAATTACCTAAGCAATTTTCTAGCGAACCTCTAGTTTTCTTCCCTCTTTTGCCATCTTCACCTCGCCCACTGGCCTTTAAAACAAATGTACCTAACTCACTACTGTTACTAGGCAACCAACGGCAGCTGAAATGCACTTCACTGTACCAGTAGCTTCCATCCTTCTACCAACTACATTGCATTTAGCATTTGAACCGGGAAAAATAAATAAAAATTAAGTAATGTATATGACCACAAAAAAAACGGTATATTGGTCGTGTTCACTCGATTAAAAATAAATTTGACAATAAAAATGTGCCCTGTAAAACCTGTAAATCAGATTACCACCACCGGATTGAACCGCTGTAGTGCAGGTTGCAGAGAGAATAAGAGAAAAAGGGGATGCATTAAGGTAAAAATAAAAGAAAAATAAAGGGAATACCTGAGAGTCCTTTGAAGGGTCTAATCTGCTAGCGGAAGCGCAAGGCGTGTCCTTCGACGACATTGAAATTGCTAGGAATGCGAATGATGCAGATAAAATCAGGACACTAGTACTAAAATAGGTGAGACCCAAGTCCGACGGGTGACGGTTAATGAGGATGAGAGGGGAGTTCTGGCAAGTCGTCCTTGAAAACCCTAATGTCCCATGAGAAGGAGGAGCGAGGAGATGGACTCCAATGTCGGAGATGATTTCGAGTAAAGAAAAAGGCGTCGGAGGATGAACTTGATGGGGGGAGAGAGAATAGAGAGGGAGAGAATTTGTTTTTTGAAATCAAATGTGGTAATGTACCCCCCTCGGCACTCCGCAGTATGACGGAGACCCCCCTCTCGAGTCTCTCTCTACTCACTAGCTGCTACGGCCTCCCTCCATGTCTCCTATTCACCTATCCTCTTCTTCGTACTTCGTACTGCGTAGTTCATACAACTACGAGTCCTTTTTTGGTCCGGTTTTGTAGGTGCTTGCGTCCTTCCCCATCCTGGAACCAGCGACGATAGTCTCAATGACTTTTGTTGACAAATTGGCGCCTCACATGCACATCCACCGTGCATTTGAAACATCTTCCGTGAATAAAAACAAATAAATACGGAAGATATTCTCAATGTACGATAAAAAGTGTGTGTAAAACGCCATTAGTTGCGTGGAAGTGGATTTCACAGCTGAGAACGGGCATCGCATTCGGCTAATCCAAATGAATATCAATGATCCATCTGGATATTCTGATTTGTCATCTGTGTGAGCTATGAATTCGTATTGGCATCCTGCGCTGTGCGCCCCACCGTTTTCGGTGTAACTTCATACTTCATCCATGTAAAGTATATCGATAGAGTTCAAATGCAAATGGGTTTAAAATAAATAGTTCAGATCTGCCTCTAAAGGGGGTGCCCACAACGTCCCTCATCACATCTGTATTGGGAACATCTCCGATGATAATATTAGAATTGATGAGGAAATGTTCTCAATACATGTCAGGGATGTACTGTGAGCCCTTGTGAGGCATAAATCTGAACTCTAAAATAAAGTGAACGGTTGGAACCTTTTTATGTGTGATGATTATGTAAAAGTATATTGATAAAATTGGTGCATTATTTATATTGATTATTGATGAAAAAACTCAACTGATGGGGAGATTGACATTGATTTTCGATGAAAACCTTACGTTGAAAATAAACGCATGAAAATACAGACTAGTAGTGGAGTTTTACATCAATATGTATTTGTACTGGAAACAAATGAAAGCGCAAACAAGTGGCGGAGCTTTACATCAATTCACATTTACACCACAAACAAATGTAGCCTAAATGATATTAATGCCTCATTTGTTTTTGAGAAGCGAGGTGGATAAGTTGGCGAGTTTCACGGAAAATAAATAAATCTATATTCATATTTTGGTATTAGTGGGTAATGTGAAAAATAATGATTTTTGAATGGTTGGATAATCAATACTTTCCCGATACTTTGATAAATTATTTATCCATCTCCACGAGAAATTGCTAACACGTGATGGGATAGTCCGACAGTACTGTCCCTTTAATCATGCCGCTTTTTTATACTAAGGCCGCATTTGGATTTGTAAATACGATCCATATAAATTGCAAAGTTGGGTTAGTTTTGCACTTATAAATATACCTACTTACCAAACAGACTTTTAGATGTAATGGATGCAAACACGAATTCCAATAAAGCATATGTCTTTTTTTATCAAAAGCCCACTTGAATGCATATTTACTTTTTTTTTATTGATATACTTGTACATATCATTGTCGATGTAAATATGCATTGGAAAATGTGTTTCATGTCATTTGTCAATGCATAAATGCAATGTTGCCAAACATGGACAAAAGTGAACCAAAGTGCAAATTTACCCTTAACCGGATTTACACTCCATTTGCATCTTTTTCAAACGCAGTCTAATAATGAAACATTACAAAATTTACATATGCACCCCATGATATATCCCAATCATGTATTGAGAACATCTCCCATTTACAATTTCATGAATCAGAGATGTTTTCGATGCACGCTAAGATGTGCCTGTGGGAGGACGTATGTGATCTCAACATTGAAAACTTGTTTGTTGATTCATTCATCCACCGCTCTATTTTGTGTGACAACCATAGCCCTACTTCGGTTTTTTAATAAAGTCAACTTTCTCCACTTGGTAATTGTGTTAGTTTATTTTTTTTAAGTTGTGCTTGGTTGCAATGCAATTTTATTTATACTAGTATAAATGCAAAGAAATGTGAATGAAAAAGAATGCAATTTCTAGTTTATTTTTATTTTAGGTTTTACTTTATTCTGCTTCAGATCTTAGTTTACTTTATTTGTACTGCAATCAAACAAAATAAGACAAACTTTAAAATGAAAATAAATCAGAATTTGCATCTAAATCATTTATGTTACCACAATTTTGCATCCGTGCAGATAAATTTGCATTGCAACCAAACACACCCATAGCTACAAATCAAGAATCGTTTTCATTGTTTGTTATTGGCTTAAAGTGATTAGGATTGCTTTGGTTCAATTGAAAATTGTGAGAGAAAGACAAAACCATTGCTTTGGTTCATTCTTATCTGGTCATACCTGGTTAATTAGTCTGACTGATAGTCTGTTCAGTACTGGCCAAGGCTTCAATTCTAACCTAATCCGAAGTTAGGTTCATAGTTCATAGCTTTCAGGGTAAAATGCTTGAATTACACCTGGATCTTGCGAATTTAACTGTATTCCTGTTTGTAAGATGACTTAAAGTATCTCTCTGTTTTCTCACAACAATACATTGCCCTTAAGAATGGATGAAAGATTGAAACATCTATATTATCCTTCATTATTCTTCAAATTTTCAAAACACCTTTCAAAGATTTAAAACATCTCATGTAGCACGATAATGGAGAATACAATATCAACAACAAAAACAATGAATTCATCTATATTTATCACAACAACAATGAATTCATCTATTTCTTTTGACCATATCCACTCCAAGCCGGTTTGACTTATTGTTCAGTATCTAAATCATTTGACAGGTCCTTGTGGTACATGTAAATGGAATGTAATGGATTTGAAACTTGAATATCAACTAAATTGTGAGAGAATCAAGAATTGACAACAATGTGGCAAAATTATTCAGCCTCATATGCACTCCATCCACTTTTAGCATCTATAGAGCGTCATATGAGATGGAGCAGTAATTCAAATCCTAGCAAAGAGGAAGCCGATGCATAAATGGAAATCAGAAAATGTTCTCTCAAACAAATTTTGAAATCCAAACAGGAGGAAATCTAATAGCCTTAGCTTCATAATCAACTGTCCGGTACATAAAAAAAAAAAAAAAAAAAGAAAAAGAAAAGAAAAGAAAGCATCATGGATAGGTTGCTCTGGTGTTTAGGAGAATGCAGTGGAGTATTAAAGTTGGTCTTACAAGTGGAATTCCACCTTGGATTACCATTCTCATTGCTCATAATGTTTCTCTTTTTTCACTACTAGTAAACATGTACGTGTATTTGCACGTGACAGTATCTCTAAGACAAAATTATTTATAATTCATGGACAGTTTTTTAACTGTTATAAGTGGGCAGTTTTTGAACAGTTGTAAGTAGGCGGTTTCTTAACTGTCATAAGTGGGCAGTTTTTGGAGTGAAAGTAAAGGATATATATGCTCTTTTTTATGCCCATTGTATGTTGCTTAGATAAGGGGTAAAGTCCAGAAAATTGGGATATTCGCTCTTTTATCAGTAGTATTGATAGATGCGTTTGGTTGCATTACAATCTTATTTGTACTAGTACAAATGCATGGGAGTGCAAATGAAAATAACACAAATTCCGGTTTAATTTTGTTTTTGATTTTATTTCATTTGGTTTCATGTCTTCTTTTACTTCATCTGTATTGTAATCAAATAAAGTAAGGTGAAATTTAGGGCAAAAATAAATCAGAATTTGCACCCAAATCATTTGTACTGTCATAATTTTGTATCAGTGTAAATTTATTTACACTACAACCAAACACAGCCTGTGACTCAATTTGGAAGGAATATAAATACAAATGCATATAAAATAATACAAAATACAAGGTTTTATACTCTACCTATTTATATTTATACTCCTTCCAAACTGAGTTTAAGTTGGGGCTTCATATTTGCATATAGTAATCACCATTGAACTCATCCCCATTTATGTTGGAGCCAATCAGTCGAAAAGCTAGCAAACAAATTGATGTTCAGCTCTTGCTCAATAGGTAAGCAACTATTTTCATGGGCATGGTCACATGGCATGCAACTGAAAGTTTTAGTTACCCATAACAGATGTTATTAGGTATTCATTAAGTCAAGCTCAAAGAAGCTAGTTTATTTTATATCACTTTTAGGCCTTGGTCGCTTTTCGATAAGTTACTTACCAAAGTAAATGCAGTTACCTGGATAAGTTTTTCCTGGGAAACACTTACCCGGGTAAGTGCATTTACCCGTGTTCTTTTATTTTTCATGTAAATAAGATAATGCCCATTTTAACCATAAAAATTCATTATTAAAAAAGGGCATTTTTGTCCCATTCAAGTGTTGACAACTTTCCCCCTAGGTGGGAAAGTTATTTACCCACCTGGGAGATGAGTATCATTTACTCGGGTAAGTGGTACCCAGGAAAATAAACTTTTCCTAGTCCCCACATAAATATGAAAAAATAAAAAAGAACATAAGATTCTTGGTCAGTGGGATCCAATATCTCATTGACCAACTTTCCCCCTTCTCAAAATCCCAAAAAGAACATCCCCTTAATAAAAAGATGGATCAATGGGAGTTCAACTTCAGTCAGTACAATGATAATTCGAACAACCTTTACAGCATTGCACCAGGAATATCTCCGTAGTTATGTACTTTATTTCATGGAAACTGAAGCAGGTAGGAATGGCAATGGGGCGGGGCACCCACTCCCCATCGGGGACAAGGAATCCTCGAATTTTCCCTGCTTTAATGCAACCACTTAAAAGTACATCTTATTGCCTTGAAAAAAGGTACATATTATTGATATGGGAATTTAGGATATTTTAAGAATTGAATTGTAACATTTTGGGAGTATTATAAAAATGAAATTAAGGGATCCTAAGGTTTTAAAATTTTGGGAATAACTTTGAAGTACTTTAGAAATCAATACTAAACCCATGAATATTTTACTAGTTTGTTATCGAGTTCGGGGCTAGTTCGAGGAATAGGGGTGAGCAAAAAAAACCAAAAAATCGAACTGACCAAAACCAAACCGACTAATATATTTGTATATAATATTATATATATATATTAATTCTAATAAAAATGGTTAAACTATCGAACTGACTATTGATAGTTTGAGACTTTTAGGCTGCCAGACTGGCGAACAACCTGTCTGACAGCCTGAGTTGTTTGACTTTGACACCCACCGCACAGGATCCCTATTCCCTCATCCCTCTCTCTCTCTCTCTCTCTCTCTCTCTCTCTCTCGCCTCTCGGACTCTCACGCACCAACAGATCAAAGAATGAAATCAATTGAGCTGAGCAATTTGGTTTCGTCGTGTTTTGGGTCAGTTGTTGAGTCGTCAGACTCTCTCTTCTTTCTTTGACTGTGTTTTCCTTTTTTTATATTTTAAGGGCATAAAAAAACCGAATAATTGAACCACGACTAACCGATCCACCAGTTAACTAGTCGACCGATTATTCGGTTGCATCGGTTTGGTTTTAGTTCGGTTAAATGTAAAAACTGAACATACTGGTTCGGTCCAAAAATTTACCCCCGTGAGCACTCCTATCAAAGAATTATATGCAAATCCTATCCCTGGTTCGGGGCAATAATGTTTTCCCTATACCCGCCCCATCCCCGTTTAAGATTGGGGAAAACTCGCCCCATTCATGGTAGGACCCCGGTTTTATGGGGAAATTGCCATCCCTAAAAGCCGGTCTCTATCAGTGGAGATAATAAATAAGATTAAATTTAAATGAACTTGTACATCATATTATAAGAACAAGAAACTCAAGATTCTTACCAAATTCCTAATTTCCAAATGGATGTTTTCACATACCACCAGTTGAGGTTAAGTGTGTATCCGTAGACAGGAAGCTGAAATATTGAAATTTCTAGATACCATTGATTGGTTCACATCCATATCTACAGACAAACATGCTCAACTCAAGATGTTAGTTTATTAGACTAGTGATTATATGCAAGAAGATGGGAAGGAGATAATCTAAGAAACAACATTCAAAATGGTCACAAAGGAAGTGGTTAAAAAAACATTACTATTACCTATCCAGATGAAGGAAGATAGGAACTTTGTATTTATCGATTATGATTCCAAAACCAAAAATTATGGAAAATTAACAACACTTTGAAGATGTTACAAGCGTATATTCATTTACATAAAGAAACGGAAGTAATCTTTGCAAAATACAAGTAGAATTTAAGGAGGAAAATTTGTATGATCTTAGCCCTCGTTTTCATCATTGCCAATAAGTCCTCCTCTATCTCCTCTCTAGAAATGGAAGTAATCTTCCCAAAATACAAGCAGGATGCTCCTTATGGTATGTTTAGTTGTTGCGATGGGGAAGAGAAAATGGGAATATTCTCATAAGATTTTAGTTTTCAGGTATTTGTTCGAAGGGATGGGAAGGGAAATGTGTGGAATATGGGTTCCTAAAATGGATGAAATGGGGTTGGGTTGATTTGGTGTGATCCCAGTGCGAAAGGAAACTTTTGAGAAAAAAGATCAAGCTCTTCCTCCTACTATCTTTTTAGACAGCCATCACTGTGAACCTGTGTCAACAACGGTCTTTTCACCGACGCCGTTATCGTTGATCTTCAGACAAAGAAAGAGTGTAAGACTATGAACATGACCGTCGACGACCGGCGAGTATTTTTTATACTATTTCTATAGCCATCAAGCTCCTCTTGTCGGTGAGAAGAGATGGCTGCTCTCTGGCCAGGATCCATTCTTTACGGCATGTAACCTTTGATTTTTTTCTATAGATTAAACGTTTTTTTTGTGTGTTTGTTTGTGTGTTTTAACTTGTAGGATCCAAATCTCCTTGCTCACTCGCGCAAAGGTAAGATATTCTAACTATTTTCAAATCCAAAATGATGAACGATTGTTATAGATATATCGTAAGCTCTACATTTGTTCGGTTTTGTGATTTTTGGGTTTGAGGTATGTATCATTTTTTGCTCACTTTCGCAAAGGTAACAATGTTCATACAACCACTKATTTGTGTTCATTTTTTCATTTTTTTTGAATAACAGGATGTATTCTACACATTATTGCGATGAATACTATCGTTTGATGTATGGATGCTTTGCTCTGAATTTTTGAATGAATACAAAACTTTTGTTTTGCTAGTTTTGGCATGAATACAATGTCAAGCAATTGAAAACATCACATTGCAAAACTGATTGGTTTTCTCAGTAAACAGACACAGGAAACTGATTATTTAGCATATTGTTTCTAGGGAAACAAACATGAGATGCAAATCTAAGAAAAAATATTTTCTCTTCCCATCATAGTCTTTCTCATCCCATCCTTTCTAGTTTCATCCTTTATTGGCAACCAAAGGTACCATAAGCCTCTTTTTTTTTTCAATAACAAGTCGATCACAAAATTGACAAAGTATGGATGGATTTTGGTGATTAGGGGTTTTTTTCTTTGTTGGTAAATGGTGATTACTGATTAGAGATTGGTGAATAAGATAGAAAGAACAATTTAGGATTTTCAAAATATTATAATAGTTGCGTGGACCCTTTTTAGATGCAGGCCTAATTGGCAGCCCTACATTAGGAACATCACGGTCTTGCATTGAGAATATCTTTTCCATGGATGAAATAATCAATTACGGGAGATGATTTTAATAGAATTGAGATATGTTTTTCACAAAGCGTTTCTCACACCAACCTCACAACCACATCCCACCGTGTATTGAAAACATCTATCATAAAAAAATAATAAATAAAAACAGGAGATGTCCCCAATGTGCAACTGGAGTGAGGAGCAGATCAAGACTCATCCCAATACATGGCTGAAATGAGATCGGATTCAGTCCTCACAAAACAATGCTCACACAGTATTCACAATCACTTATAGTTGTGTATTGTAAATATCTCCCCATAAATAAAACATTCAAATACTGAAATATTCTCAATTCACATTTGGAAGTGGCTTTGAGTATAATGTGAGTATGGATTTGTGATTTACCTGCTGAAAGAGCTTTAAGCTGCGTTTGGAATTAGTGTAAAATGTCATAGGTGTAAAAATACATTGATAACTTTTTACATTGAACTGTGAAAGTGACTGTTGCTTTTTGAAAAACATGATGGGTGGAAGAATGTAAAGTTTTACATCGATAAAATCGACGTAGTTTTTTCATTGATTATAGATGCAAAACTTTATGCTTAATGAGGTTTTACATTGATTATTGACATAAAACTCATCTCCATCCAAAACGCATGCAAAATTGAACTGGAGTGGAGTTTTATGTCGATCATAATTACATGCTCCTTCCAAACCGATATAAATTTTACATCGATTCTTGATTTATATCACTTCCAAATGCAGCTGTAAAGTTCTTAATTACATGCTCCTTGCAACTAATAAATTGGAATTTGCACCTCACACAACCCCATTCTACCATGTATCGGAAGTAGGGGTGTCAATGGATTGGATTTGGTCTAATTCGACCCAGTCCAATGTATCTATGGACGGTCTAATATATATATGTTCAAATTCGTTTTGATTTAGATTGGTTTAAACCCAAATCCGATCCATTGACACCCATATTCTTACCTTATATCAATATATCAATGGATCATATATTGACTTAATCCAACCCACGAGGTCTACTTCGTTCTAATAAATATTTTAGACGGAATTGGTCTAATCCACTATGTCTTATTGGTCCGTCCAATCCGTCCAAATTGATTTTGGATCGGACAGAATCCAATCCAATGGCGAAGAAATTCGGACTCGCAAATTCGCAACCAATAGGTGCTTACCGCGTCATGATTCTTCACACGTTTCGTTCAGCATGACCATTCCTGCGTGATTGGACCTGGATAGGAGAAACTAGAAAAAGGATACTATAATTAGGTCTGGCATGGTCGTTGTTGTGGCGGTGTTGGTGGTGGTGGAACAAAATGAAGGTGGGCGGGGGAGTGGTGAACGGATTACCTTGCGCAAGGGTGCTTCCCACATTATTTCTCCGCCGCGGCCGACCTACAATCAGATGCTCTTACACTTCCTCGTTTTCTGGTAATGTTTCCACTATCAGCAGTCGTCTCTCTGTACCCGCTGTTGTTCTTGTTTGTGTATATATGTGGATAGAGACTGAATCACAACTCAGAATTTGGTAGTATCTACTTTTAATGGATATATGTCCAATTTAATTGGCATTTTCTCGGAAAAATAATCTTATCTTTCACCTTTTAGCGTCTGCTAACCTACATATTGTGCTGCTTGCCCAAAATATATATTGGTCCTCAACCACTCTTTGGGTCTGAGTGTCTATCTCATATATGCTCTTATTTTTTGTTGATTGAAGAGGATTTTCTCAGCCTAACTATATAGAACAAGGGAATTGGGAGAGGGTCTTGGAGGCTATAGTACTTGCTTAATGTTGTTTTGTGCACCACCATTTTGAGATGGATACTAAGTTCTGGGTTAGCATTGCCATTATTATGTACTAAAAAAAGTAATCAAACTCGAAAAAGATATGGAGAGGGAACATCCCTGAACAGTCTATGTGTTATCTTTTGCAACCTAAGAGTCTCAACTGTTTTTTTTAATGGTTGCCTCCACTGACGTGTTTAATTTGAAGATACGAGAGATCCTTTTCAACCATATTGTTTTTTTTTTCCTGGAAATGGTAAGTCCTTGTTGTCATAGCAGAGCTTGTTTAGCTTTGCTACCTGGGCTGCTTTGGGATGGGCTTATAATTCTTTGACTGGCACTGGCCTCCACCTTGTAAGTCATTATTGTATTTTTTTTCTGCTTTCTTTAATCTTAATACAAATCTTCTTGACTACTATTGTTGATTTGTGTTTTTGTATAAATAAAATGTAAAAGGAAAAAGAGGAAAGTTATCATTTATACTATTGCCTTTGCTGAGCAGCTATAAACTTAAAAACAGTTTTATACTAGGTCAATGGATGTGTTTCTTTCTGTTTCATGTCACCTTGTATATTTGACCTTTTCATGAGCATACTGCTGATGAAGTTAAAAATTCTTTTCTTAGTATCGCTGACATGAGGAGTTAGTTCTGCTTGACAAACATGGTATAATTCAATAGTTTTGAATAAAATGCAGACCATATCTCATTCATCAAAGATGTAGCTGCAACTCAACCTCCTGAACATCTGCAATATTTGTTGAAAATGCTTCAAACGAGAGGTAAATTGTGTCAATCTGTTGATGGCCCTCATTTTCTACTAAAACATCTCTTGATTATTCTGCTCACTTCTATATTATCATGCATTTCCTTTTGTTATTGCCATCTCAGCATGGGAACGTAACTCTATTATGTAGCTCGTGTGGAGTTCATATGGTTACCTCTGGTTCCATGGCTGAAAGTTGGAGCTATACATAGCAATGGGCAAGAAATCCCTGTATTTTATATTTTATACAAAGCAGTTTTACCTTGGCATGCGGCACAAACACCACACAGTCAGATATCTGGAGGTGTTTGTTGGGTCAACCTTTAGAAATAATGGCAAGGGGGATACTATTGTATGTATATCTTAGATTACATAAATAATTCAAGATATGGTAAAATTTAGAAAATTAAGAAAAACGGCTTGAAAAACAAAGCTTTGGTTCCTTGTTGGATATATCTCTTTCATTACACATTTCCAAGAACACTAAGTGCTGATTTTTTTTTTTTTGGTGACTTCAACTTAGAGCTTCATTGGTATGTTAAAAGAAGTATCATGTCAAGTGTCCATGGAATTTGTGGTGGCCTGTTAGAAGTTAAAACTGCCACAAATGATAAGCAAGAGGCTTGACCTATGTAGAGTCATTCGAATATAGTCTCTAGTTGTGAAGCTGTGATTGAAGGTAACAAATCCATTCCTGATGTTCCTTTAAAGTTTAAACTGGATACCCAAAACATAAAAGCTTTCTTCTTTGCCTTTTGGCTTTATTCACTGCTCATAGGTCTGAGGTTCTACACATTTGCCTTTGCCACCTGTGGTTCTTCATAATTGGCTTTGCCAATTAGCAATGCTGTAAAAAATTCTGATTGTTGTTAATGTGGTTGTCAAGAATATTACTCACTGTTTGTTTGATACCATGTGAGGTTACTAATTGCATTGTTGCCATATTATTACTTCCCTCCTTTTGTGGGTTCCATGCTAAGCCCAGATCTTTAATTTTCTCTTTTGTTGTCCTATCCCAAGTTCAAATGTCTCGTAAGAGAGTGGTACTCTAGAATTTTCTTTGTCACTTCCAGAGAATAGTGCGTTTCTGCTCTCTGATGCATTTTTTCAAACTTTAATGCCTTGTTTATTTATGGAACTTCATCTTTAAGACTATTCTTTTACCCACTCAACCTCCAACACACATATTTACTATATGATGCCGAGAGTTGCTTTGGTTCATCCCAGTATCTTTAATATATTGGGCAACTCTCGCAATATATTGTGCAAGGTGCCAACTGGTTGGTTGGTAAGGCCTACTGTTGGTTGTAGTGGAGGCTTGGGATCGAATCCCACCTGCACCAGGGTTGGGGGATGGGCTACTCCCTGTTGTGTAGCTCCATGGAGTGAAAAAAATCTTTCCACTTTTTTTTTTCCTGTTCACTCACATGCAAAAGCACATGCTTTCTACCAGGGGGACAATAGTCATCTATGTATTCTTTTTTTCCAAATCTGTTTCTGGCTTATTTTCTTTGTAACAGGTGAAACCATCATTTCTCCTGGAGCTAAGCAAGGTTTAATCCCCCTTGCTATTCCCCTATCAGAAAGTCAATCAGGTTTGGATAAAGTACTTTCTATCTATACTATCAGCTAATCTCATGGATTTCAAGTTGAATTATTTTTATCCTTTGACTCTTCCCTTTCTCCATAGGTGCTGTAACTGCCTTGCTGCGATGGCCAACAGCTCCTTCTGGGTAGGATATCAATAATTTTAATAATATATTCTTTTGTTTTGCAATGTCATTAACAATATTGCTATTGCAAAATTTCTCCTGTGGTTTTATTTTCATCTGTCATTGCATTCACACAGGATGGAGATGCCAGTTGTGGAAGTCCGTAAACATGGGGTGTGGCTTTTAGCCAAGAATGTAATATGTTGAACTGACATAATGCTTGTTTCTGTTCTCAGATAGATGCATTCTACTGGTGAAAAATTCAACATATTTCAATTTTTATTTGCTTTTCTCTATGATGTATCCTGACTTGTGTCATCTGAGTATTTCTAATCCAGGTAGATCAATATATTCATAGAATATTGGTTGAGGAGGATGCCAACAACACACAGGAAAGTAATGACAAACTATTTACTGCTTCATCTGAGGCTGGTAATAAACTTTACAGAAGGGGTGACCTTGCTGAATCTCAAGTTGCAAGTCTTGATGTCTATCTTTTGAAGAAGGTAAGAAGTGGTGTCTGAATTATGTTGTATATAATTAAACACCAGATAAATTATAAAATCAAATTTTTGTGTTTCAGGTTGGTTTGTTTCCAGATGTTTTAGAACGTAAAGTGATGGAACACTTCGAGAAAGGGGACCATGTGAGAGACTTCTGTGATTTAGCTTAGTTTATGATTTGGGGAATTCTGGATTTTAGGGTTGCCCCCCCTAAATTAATTTTACTTGTGGTAAAGGTTTCAGCACTGGTGACTGGGGAGTTCTACACAAAAAAGGAACACTTTCCAGGATTTGGGCGTCCTTTTGTATTTAATGCAGAAATTTTGCTGAAGTTCGTAGAACCCTTGCCTGAATAGTTTCAGAGGATGTGTTTTACTTGTTCTATGGAAGTGGTTTATGAAGTCAGCCAAGTGAAATGGCATCTTACAATATTCTTAAGAAACCTTGTAATGCATCCTGACAGGGTTGGACGTAATCTAGAAGCTAAAGATGCTGCGAGGGGGGCACTTAAATCACCATGGTGGACTTTGGGATGCAAATACGAGGTAATTGCTTCCAGTTGTCATTAATTCATTTGTTGTTTCCTTTACCAGTCCAAAATCTCTCTCTCTCTCTCTCTCCATTCTGACATTTCTCTGATTGCAAGCATATTTGGAATAATGGATCCTGTAAGTCCTATTCAGGAAGTTGCTGAAATTGCACAGTGGGAGGATGAACAAATTGAATATATCAAGGAAAAGGTAACAGAAGAAGGTAAACAAGAAGATCTGAAGAAGGGAAAGGCACCTGCTCAGGTTGTATGATGATAGAGATTTTCTTTTTAATTTTATTTCTTGAATTGATTAATGAGGTAGTTGACATTGATTGCAATTGCAGGTTTCATTGGACGAAGCTGCATTTTTATTGGATTTAGCCTCTGTTGAAGGGACATGGGCTGAATACACAGAGCGAATTGCTGAATGTTATAAAGATGCTGGACTGCATGATATTGCGAGATTTGTGCTGTACAGAGGTTGAATATTGATAGGTAAGGTTTAAGTTAGTGGATTGAGAAGAGAAGCTGTTGAGAAGTTTACGGTTTTCCATTTTTGAATGTTCTTTTGTTTCTGGATTGGTGGTGCAATTAGGAATAGGGCATCATACAAGAATGTTGCGAGAATCCAATGGCTGTTGGTGCATTGGCAATAAGGCTTCTCATGCAGGTCTCAAAGGATAGCTGGATGGTTCATGCTCCGTTCACAATTTTTAGTCTGCACTTCGCACTTCCGCAGGTTGTCTGATGGATCTAGGCAAAATTAAATTGTTCAATCTGCGATTTTGATGCATTAAATTCAGGAAGTAGATCCATTTCTTGGATAGATAGAAATATGGGATCATGATTACAGCAAGCAGATTGAGTTTCTTTTACTTGATTCGTCTAAAAGTAGGGGTGTCCACAGTCAATTTATCGAACCATAGATATTATTTTTTTTCAAACTCTACCAGTCCTACCAGTTTTTTAGTTTCTCCAAACCGAAACCGAACCGGTACCATCGGTTAATGAGTTGATCGGTTTTGGTTTTTGACCAGTTTGATTATTTGGTTTTTCGGTTTTTTTATATATATTATATTATATAAATATATATGTATAAAATTATATTATAAATAATAAATCATATATAATATATTATAAATATTATAAAAATACATAATACATAATATATTTATAAATATAATATATGTATATATTTATATATGATGCATATATATTTATAAATAATATATAGATAATATGTGACACAAAATATATATAATATACATATAAATATATACCGGTTGGTTTGGTTAATTGCTGATTTTTTTAGGTTAATCTAAAACTGAGTTGATCCTTCGGTTTTTTTAAAATACCGAACTGAAACTGAACTGATCTGTTCAATTAACCGCATTTTCCGGTTTGATTATTTGGTGGTTTGGTTTTTTATGGACACCGGTAGTAGAGGTGTAAATCAGGTCGTGCCGCTTGTGGCCCAGCACAGCTCGACATGAATTTGGACTGGCTTGACATGGCCTAGCACAACGGTTCGTGGGCCGTGTTGGGCCTGGGGTTTTAGGTTCGTGGGTCGGCATGACATGATTGAGTGAGCAGTGCCACCCACAGCCCGCATGCCGGTATGACCTAGCCTGCGACATGGCCCAGACCCAAATATATTATTTATATACATTATATATATAATATTATATATTTATATAAGTTATAATTATATAATATATTAATAAGATGAACAATTGTTTTTAATTTTATTATACTAATTTATTTAATTATTATATATATAAACAATTGTATACATAAAAAATTAAAATTTAAGTTTTTTTTTTCATTTTTTTTAAATAAATAGCTTTGGCTCGGCCTGGCCCAAGGCTTGGCCCACGGACCAGCCCGGCCCGTGGCATGGCCGAGCACTGGGGGCCACCTGCAGGCAATGTCGTGCCAGCCTGGCCGTTTTACACCTCTAACCCCTAGTCGCAAGGGCTTAGAGGTAAGTTGAGAGTTTCAAGCTATCTATATGATCATGAGGAGAGCCTGCCAAAACGGCCTCCATGAACCCCATAGTCATACCCCAAGCCCGAAGGCCCTTAAAAGCAAAGCTTCAACGAATCAACTGTAACTATCCCATCAAGGATCAAGCTTGTTATTTGTTACTGACTTGCTGCATTTGATACCAGGGCTGATCATGGGCCGGACCAGGCTTAGCACATATGTGAACGGTTATATCCTAGGCCTGGGCCTATGCGATCAAATGATACAATTTTTTTATTAAAATATTTTATAAATAAAAATATTGTATAGGGTAAGCTAGTCCAAGCTTGGCTTGGCTTTGCGCAAGTCTGTATAAAATAATACATTGTTGCCTCCGAAGCAAGGTTTTATTCTAAGGCAATGAGTCATGTCCCACATGACTCGTGAGAAAATACTGACCGGTGAGTGGTCTTCTCTCTTTATATAAATGGAGGCCTTGCCTTCATTCTAATACTTGCCGATGTGGGTTTTGAGCAATACTCGTTATTGAGGACTCCGGATCTCCTGTCCACGAGAATTCTGCCCACGTTTATTCATAGTACACCACCCCTGTGAATTGGGAACATCTCCCCTTACATAATACTATGCAGAGGGTGAGATGTTCTCCATGTGTGGCTGCGATAAATGTGGGCAGGGTTCTCGTGGGTAGGAGATCCGGGCTTGTTATTGAGTGCTACGATACTACAATACTGAGTTTTACCCTAAAAGACTTCGGAAAAACTTTGGCTGTTGGGTCCCAACTCCCAACAGCCTAGACTGTTCTGTTGAAATGTTTTGGTGCATGACACGTTACCATGGATGGGGTAAAAGAGTAATTGCCCTCAATATTTTTTTTTACAAAAAAGACAAGCAGGGGTTCGAACCGCACTAGAGAAAAGGCTACTCTCCACTACATGAGTTGTTTCAGGTGTCATTAGGGGTGTCAATAGATTGGGGTTGGGTTGGACCCTCTGAATCAAAATCAAATTGAATGGATTGGATGGACCAGTAAGACATTGAATTGAACCAGTTCAGACTTATAGGGTGTTTGGTATGGTTTCCGTTTATTTGGTAAACAGTGCCAGGTCATCGCCATGTGGGCATTCTGTCCTATCATGTTATTTTGCATGCCTATTTATTTTATAAATGTTTGTCTTACTTTGCATGCAAATCAACCATTTGGGGGACTTTCATTTTAATGTTTCCCCAGCACAAAAATGCTTATTTACTGCTCTGCTTATGTGGCGTTTAGTGGTGTTTAGTTGTCAATAAATACCAGAAAATATTTATCAACCACTTTTTCTCAGTTTTGAAGGCAAATCAAGTATAAACCTTTATTTAATGGTTCAAACCTATACGTAATGGTTCAAAGTGTTTATCAGACTGCATTGGACCTGATTTATCTGTAATAAAAAAATTTCTATTGGATTGGGTTGTATCTAACCAATGTCTGGTCCATTGACATGAGATAAGAGTATGAGTGTCAATTGACCAGGTTTGGGTTGGATCTAATCTAAATTAAAACCAATTTGAACTGTTTGGACATTGAATTGGACCAGTCCAGATTGATCCAAAGTATTCATCGGATTGGACCCGTTTCATCTCCAATGGGCTCGTACTTTGGTTACACTTTCATGATACCGGCTGATTGGTTAAAGTTTTTCTGGTATCATAGTCGAACCCTAATTATGTAATTACATATACAATGCATATTGCGAGCTAGGCCCGAACATAAAAGCATATGCATTTAAATAAAACTAAATTTGATCATGTCGGATGGATCGGATGGAGTTTGTCCATATTCAATCAAATTATAAACAGGTCGAATTCGGATCACCCTTGACCACATCGAATTCGAATTCAAATGTGGGCACATTTGCAGGCTTGCAGCCCTACTCGAGAGGAAATTATCAACAAAGACGTGAATCGCATTTAAGTAGGCTGCAGCGTATACAGCCCTCTCCTCTCAATCATATACTATTTTGTGAATAGATTCAATACTCAAGCGTCTTGGCCCCTAACCCAAAATATATACAACGGGAATCCAACAACGCAAAATGACAAACATTATGAAACTCTCTCTCTCTCTCTAACCTTTCAGTATTTCCAATCCCAAAGTCCAAACTCCAAAGCTGTAATCAAACACCAAAAGTTAATAAAACCAAACCCTGCTAAGTGGAAACTACTGTTGTTGTCACCAATTAATTGTTATCATGTAATAACAGTGAGAGATGTCTTCTTGCTGTTACCCATCTTCTTTCTTAATAGTAGTTTTCTCAGAAAACCTGCACCACCTCCACGTTTCTTAATCGGCACAATAGCAAGAGTTTCAACTGTGGTGGTCTCATTTTTTTGCTTTGATTTCTTTGAATCCAGAGCCTTCTCTGGAGATTTCACTGGGACTATGGGACCATGGAAGGAATCGGAAGGTGGGCTAGGATGTTTCTGTGGATCCATAGTGCATATGATTTCTTTGGTTTTGGGAGACTTGGCAGCATCATCCTCAGCTAACATCTGATCAAGTAGGGAGGAACGATGGTTCGTGTTGATGTTCTTGTTGTTGGAGGCGGTGGCAGGGGAGGGGATAACTTTGTCAAATAGAGCTGCCTCCCTAGGCGAAGCTAATGCTTTCAATTGTTTCCCCAGGTTTAAGATGGTTTCCTGGCATTCTGCCAACTTTTCCGAAGCAGCTGCGATCTCCCAGTCCTGCAAAGTTGAATTGTAACAATTGGAATTATTCCATTGCATAATTAGTAACTTACTTGGGATACATAACAAATATGTAAAACTTTCAAATATCATTCCCATCAATTTGTCTAGGCAACAAACAAGATTATGGTGTTGAGATTTCTTGGCACCAATTACTTTTCAATCTCTTATTGTCAAGAAATTGATATGTGCAAAATACATGTATTAGCATGAAATTATGGGGAAATTTTTGGCTGTTGGGAATGTTCTTCCGCATGATACGTTAGCATGGATGTGGTGTAAAAGAGTAATCGCTCTCAAATATTCTTTTGGCCAAAAAGACAAGGGGACTGAATGGGTTGACCTGTCATGCGGAAGAACGTTGCCAACAGCCAAAAGTTTCTTGAAATTATGGAGGATAAGTTTCTTTTGAAATTTTCTGTGTCTCTGTCTCTTAGAAAACTTCCTTTTTTTGATTGTTAACAGGGTAAATATTTTATTATGTAAATTGTACAACTCTTCTTTCCCAAAGAAGAAAAGACAAATATAACCAGAAATTAGCCAAGGGCTAACGAATAAATACTACTGGTTCAATTACACATTAATATCACTCTCTGGTCCTGGTGTACCCCACTCTAAGGTATTTTTGTGCACCACCAATTGTGCTAATCTTGACCTTCCTTCATTGAGAATACTCCATGTCATGGAAATTTGTTTTTTTTGCTTGGGCACCGCACAGCTCCTTGTGCAGATTTGTTTTTTTTTTTTTTTTTTTTTTTGCTTTGTGGCTGATATATTACTTTACCTTTTTCTCAAGAGAGAGAGAGAGAGAGAGAGAGAGAGAGAGAGAGAGAGAGAGAGAGAGAATACTCCATGTCAAGGAAATTTGAAGCTTAACACACACGGGCCTTCTGGTGGAGTTTGAAGTCTTAACCTTGTTGCTCAAACTGGGTAATTTCTGGATGTGTTGTAGTGTTTTTGGGAGCATGTTATTGGAGTGATCTAGATGGAGAGTAGTTCAAAACTTGCATGTTAACTTATTATTAATAACATCCTCCAAACTGTATTAGAAATTGTTGAGAATTTCCATGATCCATATTTTCACAGAAAGCAACTTGCTGGCAGATGATTTTGCCAATATTGGTTGATTTGGGCATGAATTTCCCTCTTCCTTTGTTCCCCGGAGTGGCGTTGTTTTGCTTCCCCCTTCTATTTTATTTGCAATGCTTTGGGAGGGAATGGTATCTCTAACTATCTATCTTCTCTGAGTAACAGTTAGAAGATGCTTTCCCTCTAGAATTTTCTGGGGTTAAAAAATGGTCATCCAATACCTCCAAAGCTCCACTAAGGTGCTAATGTGAAATTAAAGGCAACGAGTATACCATCATTTAGCCTTTTGTTTATTTGTTTGTTTCTTTCAACTTTCCCACTAAAAAAAAGAAGAAAAAAAAAAGAGCCTCCTTTTTTCTATATTCCATAGTTCATTAACTCAACAACGATTGGAGCCTATCACCTCTCCTACAGTGTTTTCCTATATTTTCATTTAAAATATACCCATGATGTTTTTTCCCTATTTATTACTCCCCATAGATATTGATGCATGTAGAAAATAGATTAGGGACATTTCTTCTGCATCCTCTTCTTCATCTTACTTTTCCTCTCATCTGATTTTTTTTCTTTACAGCTTTGTTGCATTTATTAGTTTATAACATGCTGAAGGAAGCTTTGCTCAAGTCAATATACATGTCCAAAGGTTATAAGACCCAAGGTTAAATGATAATGCCCGAAGTCTTTCCCTGGTGAGGCATGCATTTCATAGTTTATGATATGAAAAAAGGTCATTATCCAATGTTGTCCCAGCTATCTTAGGTTTTGGTAAGGGTGGACTGGATATGGCCTTAAACTTTGCCTTTTTTTTTGGCACAAAGTGATAGCTCCAGACTTGAACCCATTACCACTAAACCAAGCAATGGCCCCTTGTTTACAATTTAAATAGATAGACCATTAAAAAGTCTATTTACTCTGTCAAGTTCAAATATAAAATTTTTACTGATGCATAATAGAAAAACAAATCAGGATCCATGATCAAGTTTGGCAAAAGTTTTGGTTTTGGTACCAGCTGCCAACCTGACACAATTCTCCTCCTTTGTCTTGGTTTGATAATTTGTAACAAGGGAGAAATTGAGGAGGATGTCATGCATAGAATTAGAGCATGATGGGAAAAATGGAGTGGTTCATCCAGAGATTTATGTGATAGGCAAACACCGGTATACCACTTAGATTAAAGGTAAAATTCTATAGAACAGTTGTAAGGCCAGCTATGCTGTATGGAGCAGAATGTTGGGTGGTTAAGAAACAACATTGTCCAAAAAATAATTGTTGCAAAAATGCTTATGCTGAGATGGATGAGTGGAAAAACTAGAAAGGATGGAATTAGAAATGAAATCATTCAAAGGAACCTAGGACTAGCTTCAATAGGTGATAAAATGAAAGAAAGTAGATTAAGATGGTTTGGTCATGTGCATTGAAGACCATCAGCAGCACCCATAAGAAGTGATCAGTTGCAAGTTGAAGGGGATACAAGGGCTAGGGGTAGACCAAAAAGGACATAGGTTGAAGCAGTAAAAATGATTTAAGTGGCTAAGCACCCATCATTTAACAATGGATATGGCTTTAAATAGAACAGAATGGAGAAACAGGATTTATGTAGCTCACCCATATAATTGGGATAAGGCTTCGATGAGGATGATGATGCAGAATAGAAAATTGATCTCTTAACAGAGGTAGATATTCTAGACTTGCAAAGGACAAATATACAGGTAAAACAATAACCTTTACTATTCATTTCAATTCGTCAAAATGATTTATTCTACTACAAAAGAGCTATCAAGTAAAGAAGACGGGATCTTACAGTTCGAAGATGCTTTTTCTCTTGATCTGGATCAGGATTTGGAAATTCCTTCTTTGTTAAACTGTGAAACAAAAGTTACAGCTACCTGAGATGAATCATCACCGTAGGAGCAAAACTTATTCAGATTCCAAAAACATAATCGTGCAAGAAAAAAATTTGTACCTTTCTAGCTGGAGTTGCAATTCAAGACAAGTTACTTCTAGTTCTTCACAACAGTTGCTTTTATCCTCAAGCGCTGCTTCCAGAGAAGAGAGCTTCTGGAGAGCCTCTTTTAGTTCAACTCTGGCAACTGTAAGCTGGGTATCAAGATCTTCATTAAGTAACTTGTGATTTTCGATTTGATCCTCTATAATCCCTTTTGATTCTTTTAGGATTTCTAGTTGCGTTTGTAAACTTGCAATGTTTTTTTCTGATTCCTGAAGTTGAGTTATCAAGGATTCACTCTTATCAGTTGCTGACTGGAGCCTCCCTTCCAAATCTTTCTTTGCAGACTCCATGTCCTTCAGTTCATCCTTTAATCTCCTATTTTCTTCTTTGAGAACACCCTGAATTTTTTCCATTTGGGATAAATTACTGTGGCCATTTGATAGATGTTCTTCAGATGAATGGGATTTATCTGCTTCTGGAAGTGAACCGTTCAGAGTAACTTCATTTTCAATTTCACTTCGGGTATCATCCCAATCAAAATTTTTCCTAATTGTATCCCTCATGCTTGAAACATCTTGAAGGGAGAAACAGTGGCTTGTCACCCACTCGAAAGCTGAAGTTAATTCTCCGGCAAAATTCTCAAGACTAATTTTTCCATTCAACAGATCATTACAAGTGTGGACAAACTGCTGCAGAACAACACCAAGTTCAGAACTTTTCCATTGAAAGAGACGAACTATGTAGCCTGTAGGTGTTGCTGGATTCTTATATGGCAAAGAATTCCCATCATTTTCTGTTAAGATCTGAGGGGTACCATAATCCATTAAAGAAGGTTGGTTAATCCCTTCAATAAGTTCAATAAGTCTAGAGATTGACTTGTTAAGATTTGATTGAAGCTGGTGGTTGGTGACCTCCTTTGATAACTTGCTCATTCCATATGGTCCATCAAATGAATGCACTGGTGGAGAGGCACTAACATGTAGGTGATCTGATGCTACTGCATTGCTCAAGTTTTTTCCTGCATCAACAACTTCACCATTGTTTGTATGACTCACATTTATCAAAGCAATTTTAACTTCCTCAAGAATCTCACTAAGGCTTCTCTGTGTAACCTGGCTTTGCTCCAAGACTACCTTGAGGATATCCTGAAGCCAATGAGGATATTTTCCAATTAATACATCCTTTGATTGGATTTTTTGATTTATGTGACCAGAGCCTGAATGACTATCCATGACTGGAACTAGTTCCTTACCGGTAGTATCTGAAGGATAAATACCTGATTCAGTTTCTAAGGGTTCCACAAGTGCACTACTTTCATCTGAAGAAAGAAGGGAACTTTCATAAGGCGTATCCATAGAAACAATTGCCAATTTTTCCATCTCAACAAAGTCATCCATCAGACTGAAGTCTGAAATTCCTATAGATTTACATGACAATGGTGTCTTTGGCTTTCCATTTCTGAAGTTTTCCAATTCTGAGATCAAAGCAGAAGCCCATGATTCAGCACAGCTTAATTCATCTTCATTGCCAGCACCAGATACTGACTCAAGGGAGAGTCTATTTGATCTAGGACTACTCCTTGCCAACTCCATGGCTTTATGACCTTTCATCAATACTCCAAGTTGAGCCTCAACTTGTGATAACTTAAAGACTGTTCGTGCACCCATGATCCTTGAGGATTGGAGTTCGCTCTCTTTCTTGCTTAAAGATTCTTTGAGAATCTTATTTTCTTCTTCCATGCCACATAACTGTTCAATTAAGAAATTGATCCTTTTAGTAGGAGTTTCAGGAGTATTGTCTTGCACAAAGTCCATTGTTTGAGCTGCCACTGAAGAACCTGACTTTCTTCTCCTGAAATCAGTTGGATCCTTTCCAAGCATCTCAACTTCATTTTTCATTTTAGCCAAAGCAGCTGGACCTGGCAATCTCTTTCGAACCAAGAGCCGCAATCTATGACATTCCGTTTCTAATTTTGCAATCTTCTTCACACTCTCCAAGTGTTGCTTGTGTGATGCATCAGCTGATTGACGGTTGAATTCCCTCTCCTCATTCCGGATCTCAACTTCTTTCTCAAGCATGCGGACCTCATATTTGAGAGAAGAATTATCCTTCTCAATAGAATTTAATCTAGCCATTAGTGCATTAAAATCAGCTTCTACCTGAGCCTTGCTTGCACTCAAGTCATCAATGAACTTCTCCTTTCCCAGGAGGGCCTTACTCAACTGAGTATTCTCAGCACCTAACATGGTAACCCTTTTACTTGTTTCAGCTAACTTCTCCTCTAAAGTTATCCGTGTTTTTTCAAATTCTTTTGTTGTCTTTGTTATAGCATCATGAATCCTTTTCTCCTGTTCTTCTCGAACAAATCGTAGCTGCTGCATGCATTCCTTCAAAGCTCCATCCAAGTGAGCTAACCTTTCTTCTGTAGCCATCCTCTGCTGTAAAGCTTCATCCAGTTCTTTCCTGAGAGAAAATGCTTCTGCTTCTGCCTTCTCCCAGCCTAGAATGATTTATCAATTAGATAGATCAAGATAAAATCTGAAAAATCCTTCAACAACAATGCTTAAGGAAAAAAAAGTGCACACGCTGGAATATAAGTTAAGTAAGAAAGTTTTGGGAAGGAAAAATTAGCAACATTAGATAACCTGCAATGGCTTCTGCTACAGCTTTTGCATGCTTTGTGACAAGATCATCTTTTGCATTACACTCAGAGAGGGCAGATGAAAGCTTCTCATTCAGATCTTTTACAGATCTTTCTAGATCTACTTCTTTATCTGTCACACGTGCCTGTCCTCAATCAAACAAAATATAGAATAAATAATTTTCCAAAATTAATGATTGATAGGAATTACAAGTATTAAGGCTTAATGGCATGGAGACACTTCTTCAAGATAATCCGATCCTCTCACAAGTGTAAGCAAAAATCAATGGTTATCCATATGTAGAGATTCAACCAATGCCCAAAGGATCTAAGCCCTAAGAGAGTGCATTCTTTAACAACATTTGGTTGTCCTTAAAATTTCTGAAGATTATAAAATTTCATTTCTTAAGAATTTTGAAACTAGCCAAAAAACAAAAAATTTCATCACATTTGAAACACAATTTCCTGACAACTTGGTTGAAGTTAATATGTCAAAATATACTATTTTTTTATAGGTTGTCAAAATATACTTAAACCAAGGAATTTTTTAATCAATGATACTTTGGTCCAAAATACTCCAGTAGTTTATTCTGGAAATATGTGGCCATAATGACAACAGAGTTCAAAATAATTTTGTCAAGAAGTTATTCGAAAACATAGTCATTTTTTTTAAAAGAATTGCCATATGCAGAGATGGAACAAGTTCCTGAATTGGACTGCTGGATTCAAAGAGTGGATGAAACAAGTTCCCCAAGATGACTGATGTATCTGTTAAATAATAGATATATTGTGGAAAAGCAAAAAACTTCAGTCTCCTGGTGGTTTCAGGAGTCTGGATTCGCTGCATCATTCTCCATTTGACACACTTCTCCACTAGCCCTCTTGGTGGGTTCTATATAGACCTGGTCATTGGTATTCCTTGATTCAAATAATCATAACAGGTCCATCAATGACTCATGGGCTTTGATAACTCTCTCATGCATGTATTCGTGAAGTGTCTTGAGCCCTTGACCTTGTCCAAAATATTTCACAAAATGAAACCATTGACTATATTTGAAATCAAATAATGTTTTTAAAATCCTTCAAAAAATTAAAAGAGAGAAATCTTAAAAAACATATGTTTTAAGTGTATAGAGCTATATGATTTTCAAACATTAAAACCTCCCTCCATCATCATGGACAATTCTATTGCAAGATTGGCATTTGGGATCTAACCTCCCTTATGACTCTCCAAGATAACAGAAAGATGCATATTTAGAGATGCTATCTGGTAAACTATATTATGATTAATAAAGTTGGTACACTTACCAAAGAAGGAATTGGTCCAAGTATGATCAACTAATTGACAAAAAAAAAGTAAGAAACAAAATAAAAAGAAAATGTAGTTGGAAGCATCTAATGGATTTGAAGAATCAAGATCTAGATCTTTAACTCTTGTTTAATACATAAGTGGTTGCATAAGTTACACTTCTTCCCCCTTCTCTTGAGCCCTCATGTAATGTTGGTTTTGATATCTCCCAGTAAAAGAACCATTTTGTTCTCCTGGTTCTGTATCTCACTATTTACTTAACTCTATTGATGAATGGAATACAATTAAGTCAAACTGTAGTTTTCTTCTCAACTGAGGTGTAACAACGGTTTGCTTAGTGATTGCATAGGGTTTTTAGGAACAAATTTCACTTCAATCCATCAAATAGTTGGATGCAATATAGTTTACTGATAACATCATTTTTTATCAGTAACAGTTGAAATTTTATTAATTGATAACAATATAAGTATAATGCTAACACCATTAAAATATAACATGTGATGCAAAAAATGCTCTGCTTGCATTTCCAACATTTTCTTTTGTTGAAAGGCAGAAAGGGAACAGTTCAACCATCAATATATAAATTGAATAAAAGGTCACCAATTACCTCCTCATCTTTTCCTTTTGACAAGAGGTTGGCTTTGTCACTTACAACAATTGTCTTCTCTGATGTTTTTTTCCCCCAAAGCCATGTCTTCTGGTCCATGATTTCACCAAATCCTGCCATACAAATAAAACAGGAAAATTTTCATGAGAAAAACAAAACTAAGCCTAAAAGAAAAAAAATGAACATCATTATATTTTTAGTTAAGCATATTTTTGATGAATGTACTTTTCTGGAACTTTTTTTGGTATTACATGGTCTCTACTAAATGGATGTTGTGTTGTGTCAAAATGTGTTCGAGTCTAACAAGACAAATCCGATTTTTTTTCTATCAAACAGCACTTAGGCTCAGTTTGGGAAGAGTATGGATACAAATATGTACAGTGCAAATACAAGGTTTAGAAATACTGTTTACAAGGCTTTACACTGAACGTATCTGCATTTACACTCTTCCCAAACTCAGCTTTAGCAACAAAGGCAACAGTTTGTGTAGGTATATAATATTAGAACTCAAAAACTATGAATTGTTTTAATAGTATGTATTTTTCAATAGAGGTGTCTATGAGTCCATGTTTATCATCTTGCTGGGTCAGACTCTTGGACATGCGTTGGATCCCAACTCACATGTCCATGTATATGCAACACTGACTTTTTGGTGAATGTATACCTCTATGAAAGAGAGTCATAAATAAAAGGGCCATGACCCAATAATGATCCCTGCTATTCTGGTCTGGGAGAGGTGGACTTTATATGGACCTAACCTTCAGCATTTTCTTGCATGAAATGGCTGCTCTCAAACTTGAATCCACATTCTCATGCTTTTCAGTCTGAGATGTCTACCATTGGATTAAGCAATTACCTCTGTCATAAATAATTACATTTTCCTTTATAGTACATCCAACTTGTTTTCCATAAGCCCGACATATTTTTTCTATGCACTTAATAGACGTGTCCTTATTTATGCCTAACAACACTAATGAAGGAACTGTGCCTTCTATTTCTGACAAATCACATTTCTTGATGGACACTTAAGTCCAATTGGTCCATTTTTAAGGCACATGTTCAAGTCTGACTTCACAAAGCAAACAAACATACACACACACAATTAAAATTAGCCAATATTTTTTTCCTCAATTCTGACATTAAATACCTACTATATAAAGGTCTAAAATGTTTTCTGTGTTACTGAGTAACATTTCATAGAGAAAATAGCATTCATCATGTACATTAACTATTTATTTATGTATAACTAGGAGAAAAAGGAAAAAATTATGCAGAAGTATCCCTTAAGAATACAGAGAATTTGAAATCTGAAAAGTTTTTGACCTGGACACTTCATCCATTTAGAAGAGTCCAAGAAAAACTGATTTGTAGGAGGAATATGTTTCTAATAACAGTATGCATATTTCCTACGGTATATCAAAGACTCAATCTTCCACCTTCTTCAATAAGAAACTGGTAGGAGTTGATTTGACACCATCTAAGTAATATAAAGTAAGAATCAGTTGATGTGGGTTGCCGGGGTAACTTTTGGCAAGTCTATGTTCCTTGTGATATATTTATTACATGAAGAATCCGATTAGGCAATGGAGAAAGGACGAAGGAAACTTTACTCTGCAGTTTGAGAACTCCTGAGATACATAAAAGCTTGTCTGTGGAAAACGATGGCTTTAGTTCTTCTTGTGATAGACTATACGAACATAAATCAATGACTTCTATCTATATTTTTCTTGGTCGAAACTCAATCTCATATTCTCATGGAAGAGGAAGCCCACAATCTTGTCTTCAGTTCAAGAAATGAATCGAAAAGCAAGAATTGTCTACAACCAGCAAACCAATTAAGAAACTAAAATTTCTACTTTCTACTTAAGACCCAAACATTTTGAGACGGATCATCATATGACAAAGAGAAAGAATACAGCACCCATGTCAAATTTATATAGTATACATATTTCAATACGAAAACCACAATCTCACAAGTCTAGACTTGCATGCTAGTTTATGAGAAATGATGCATAACTTCAATATGCTAGTGCACAGCAACAGATATGGTACATGTGCACACAAGCTCTCATCCACAAGATAAAAGTATAAGTATGAAAAATTTATAAACATTCTGCTCTGAATCTGGAGTCTGGATTTCAAGATTCTACACAATGACATAATATGCAAGGTTATGAAGCAGCAATATAATAATGATTTGAAAGGTGTATAGCTTATGGAAAAATCACTCCATGGCAGAAGAAGCCAAAATCCATACAGTTGCAGGTAAATGTAAGAAAGAACTCCCAAGATCAACAGAGTTTGAGACAGAGTGTGAGTGGAGAGGAGTCGTCTGCATGTGAACAAGAACCTGGCCATTATAAAGGAGCATAGGATTGATTTTATTATTATTTTTTATTTTTTTTAATGTCATAATCAAATCAATGAGACATCCATGGATATACCCTGGTTAGCGTGCGTCGCATGAAATGATCATACAGGCAAAAAACGACCGTATGTGAAAGACGATTTCGTTCGAAAATACATGTAACTCAACCCTGCTCTGTTAAGATCAAAAGGAATGGGGAAAGGAAAAACAGAGAAAGCGCGTTTTCAAGGTCAAA